AGGTGTTTGGTCCATGCCCCATGGCGAAAAAAAATATTTTTCACGTGTAAAGCTTACGGACAAAGGACTTGTTTATTAGGCAGTTAAACATATATGAGTGAAAACTTTTCGATGTTTGCACGTCAAAATCGTTCCTTATGGAAAAATTTATGTTGCATAATTATGCGTAGAAATATTCCGTCATTAAATATGAACTTACGCGCAGATGTTCAATGTTGTAGCGGCAAGCTTGTGATCGTAGTTCGTTGTGCTTGATGCAAGTCGCAAAGTTTTACTTATATAGGATATACTTAATCCTATATTTCAATTTACTGCAAAATTTTATCTTAATTATGTGCATAGATAAATCTCTTCGTCATTGTTACATGGAAGGTACATTAAAATTTAATTATAATTAATTCTCAGCGTAACTCCGAAAATATTTCCGGCCGATACCATCAGAGAATATTCAAATATAACGATTTTAATGAACGTCTCCCACAATGGAGTGATGGTATCTTTTTGTCGCGCCAGTGAAACTGAACATTTCTCCTGGCTTCCCACGGCCGCCGCAAAGAAATTATTTTATTGTTCCCGCGTTAACACTTGCGTCGTTTACGCTTGTACATAGCCCTGCTTTTGTAAACAAAAATATTAAGTAAAACGCTTTAACGGTTTAAAACGCGATATATATTAGTAGCTAATATATATCGCGTTTTAAACTGTGTTAGTGTTTTATTTAAATGTGTACTACTCGCGTAAACTACAGACAGTATTTAATGTACTATTTTTAAACAAAATTAAGACGTAACCTTATAATTTATAAGACTTATACGAGACTTTTAGGGTTCCGTACACATTGAGAATCTAATGAGATTTAAAAAAATGACACGGGCGGGAACTGTACCATCCATAGCGTTGTGCTGTTGATCGGAGCTACTGTGTCCCATAGTTTATCGTCGAATTTCATACAATTTTCAAATCCTTAATAAATAATTAATTTATATAATGCCATCGTTTGAAATAACATGCAAAGAAATAAAGTTTACAGACTTCTTGTCTCTTCTTGACTTTCTGTGCCTAGCTGGACCGAAACTGGGTATTCTTAACCTAATGCATCACGGTCAAACATTAAGCTACAGGAAATTAAGCCGACTAGTACTTAAAATAAAACGGACACAGTTGTATGTCTGCCCCATTGCCCCACATTAACTTGGGCATGTTAAAAGTGGGTCGCCAATATAGGCTAGTGGCGCCAAAAGACCTATTAGCGGACTTTCTATAGCTTTCGGGCCGCTTATGCAACGAAGATGTTTACTGTCAAAACCGTTGATGTAATCGCTGTGATGTAATCGGCCTATAAGATATATATTTTGGCGATTTTTTCTATATTTCACCTTATTGGAGTATTCCGATATTGTTTTATTTAAATATACGTTTTTTCTTATGTTTGTTATGAAATGTTTGCTTTATATCTTCACCATTTTTGCGACGTTTATATGCTGTCGGCCTATTTTGGCTTTGAAAATTAAGTTTGGGGGGTTTTGGGAAGATTATTTTCTTTGATTTAATAGTTTATTCTTATTCAAATTCGAATTTTAGTTGTATGTAAAAACAATGCGCGTACACATATGAATTATATTTGTTAATGTGTACGTGAATTTCAGAAAAAAACTTGTATCAGTACTGTCTGGAGTTTACGCGAGTACTATAAATTTAAACACAATAAACAATTTAAAACGCGAAATGTATTAACTTATACAATTTATTTTAACTAGATCCCGACGTTTCGGATGCTTTGCAGCTATATTTTACGTTTTAAACCGTTGAAAGTGCCTTATTAAATGTTATATTTTTGTCTTAGTCCCGTAGTTTTGCGAAAATGTCAGCTCGAATACGGTTTCACTGCAGCGAGTGTAACAATTCTTTTCGTATCTGAGTCGCTCTTGGTGCGTATGAATACGAAAGTGACGCGGATTTGAGTGAAAGTATGCGCGGAGATCATCAATATAATGTCATGTTTCAAATTATTATGCTAATTCTATGTGAATATATTTATCATTTATGGGGATTAGCTAGATTGTCGTTGGTCTAATACCATCATAACGCCATTAGGCCTTAGGCCTTTTTTCATGAAATCAATGTAGCCCTTTTCGCTACTTAATCGTGACCAAAAATCATGAGTAATTATTTTTTTAATTTAAGTTTAATATGTTTATATAAAGACTACTTAAAAAAGGTAAACTGTTTTGAAACAAGAATTTTAATTATGTATATGTATTTAACAACAGAATATAAACAAAATATGCAGGTTTTTACAGGCAGCAATGAAATAAAGTCAATAAAAAAGTAAATCTTCGAAGTTGAGATTGTATTTTTTCTTGTTTAATTCTTTGTAAAAGCGACTTTCAAAACGAACATTGATTTCGGCTTAAACTCGCGACACATGAAAAACATTAATTATTAATTATAGAATCTATCCAAATTGATATTTTTTCAGTAGTACACGTTTGATAAAATAATACCAATTTGAACGGTTTGCAACAGGTAACATTTGACACTCGACGTTTCGGATGCTTCGCCACGGCAGTTAGATATGTTTATTTTATGGATTTTTATTGTTTTTAATTTCAAGAATATTTCCTTACTTTCTACGGTTATAAGACCGAATAAGAGTCTTTTTGTTTTACTAGACATGCGTAGTTGTAAGTGGTGCGATGTCATTTCATAACGAAAAACTATAAGGCGCCACGTTAAAGTAAGCGGTTCCTCTGCAATGCAGAAATAAAGACACACAACTGTGTCTGTTTTGGCATTTGATACTCAAAGAATTAAGCTACTGCGTAGATTAACTGCGAAAATCCACACACACACAAGTTCCCTACACGCGACATTTTGTCACGCAACTATTAAAAATGAGAGTGTAATACCATACAATCGATTTTCAACTCTATCATATGTGAATAGAGATAATATTTATTTATCACGTTCAATATAATAAGTTTATTAGTGTCAATTCTTTTCCTAGTTGAAATTTCTATTTAAAATGTGTAATTAGGAATAATTATTCGTTTTTGTGTATGTGTTTCAAAAATTAAAATCGCAAACAGCGACATATTTCTATCCGACATCGGGAATAGGTTAAAAAAATCTATTTATTAGATAGAATCGTTAAGACAGTAATACGTTTTATAGTAAAGACTACTAAAGAGATTTTAATAATTTCTTATTATATACAGTAGTTTCGTAGATTACGGAGCCAAACAAAAGAACTTTTAACATATTTTATAGAGACACATCTAAAGGTGAGTTCAACTGATATACCCCTTATAACCCAAACAAAACATTTTAATTTGCTTCCCTTTATCTTAATCATATGATCGATATACGCTAATACAAGCCTGTGACGTCACTAGCCGTATTGCAGCGTTATTTCGCAAAGTTAGCATTTAGGCGCGCAATTTAAACATTGATATATTTCAGCAAATATGTATCAGAATTCAAAAATACTCGTTACCGGGATTATTTACACCTACTAATGAATATAAAGAACATCGTACATCTTAGAGCGATGTTCTAATATATCTTCATATTCTATGTAAATTCGTTTGTATCTTTTTGTCACCGACATCAATCACTGCAGCTCGCGCTGGTATTGCCACAATGGAACTTTTACCTTTGTCTCTGCGCTTGTGGGCACGCAATTCCCACAAGTAATTTATTATTTTATTGTTCGTAGCTGTTGAACTTACTACTATTATTGTCGGCGTTTAGCACTCAATTTCTTTTTCGAATACACGTAAACACGTTCGGACTTTCCTTCTCTTTCACACGCACGAAATATGAGGCGGCTAGAGGCAGAGTGGCCTAACTGCAATTTTATGACTCTTTATATTTTCATAGTTCAAAAATGTTAATAATAGTACAAATTCATTTTCGCCTGAGTTAATTGCGCATTTTAATTTTAGGCCACTCTGTTAGCAGCCTCATATATTATAGTCCTAAATATATATTTAGCTCATCTAGCTGACCTGGCAAAATAACTTAGATTACAATAAAAATGGTTCTTGTGTGTCTAAACTGTCGCGGAATTGTTTAAGATTATTTGAAAAGAAATAATTCTTTTACACATATTTCTTGGGTATCTTGAACTATTTTCGCACTCCACGCAACGGAAACCCTCAAAGATGAATAATTTTCCCCCTTTTTTCATATTTCTCTCCGTTTCGCCGCTCTAATTGATAAATGGTCTATCTAAGACACAAAGATTTGTTTAATTTGACCCAGTAGGTATATCCTGAGATTAGCGCTTTCAAACAACAAACAAACTCTTATAATATTTATAATATTAGTATAGATAATATAAGTATTTGTTAGTTATATCTTAAACCTGAACAGATAAACTATTTAAGTTATCTATGGTACTCTGTTTCAACCCAGAACCTAATGTCTCAGTTTAAAGCCCAGAGCGAGGAGAGAGCGAGGTTAGACCCACCAAACTGCTCCAGGGCGGGATGGTGGGCTATTCGACTAGTACCACTAAAGTCATGAGAACTGTCAGCTTAATGGATGTTTTAATGTATGGTGACGGATACCTAATTCTTAATTTCGGGATGGTACTAATTCTTTTTTAATTTGTAAATACCGAACTATAATTTCGGGATTCAAACCCTAAACCTCGAGATCTGCACTAGAAAGTAATAATAACTAGACCAACTGGCCAGTTCGTTTGAAGCGATTTCAAATCAGCTGTTCGTTAAGAAATAAACAAAGTTGTTCGTTTGTTAGTCATGGTTATAATTGTATATTTGTTATACAAAATCTTATCATTTCATTTAAAGAAATATATCTTCTCCACATTCACGCTTTGAAATTTGAAATCTCCATGCATAAAATTAAAGTAGAAATTTCGAAATTATAATTAACAGTAATTACCTTGGGTCGTCTTTGTAGGTTACACAGTTTTTCGAACTCTACGAATCCGGTAACAGAATTAAGATCTATTGTAAACGCGAGTTATGTCACGACGCATCCGGAGATAAATTGCATAACATACCTCTCTCCGTGAAAGCATCACCGCTGATATCCTGCAACTGATCCTCGGACGTTACGTCGTTTGTGCCCACACTCTGTTCACGAAACACAACATTGTCATTCAAACTCGGTCCCGAGTGCGAGTTTGTTTGAATGCCGTTCCCCGTATCGGGGTTGTAGGGGAACACGACGCGGGGCGACCTGGCCCTCCACCCGGTCGTGGGGGAATAGTAACTGTTCCTCGGCGGCGCGAACTGGATCGGTTCAAACCCGAAACCGGGGGCGTAGGGACGGCCGAAGCGCCCCTGATAGTACTTGGGGTAACGCCGGGGCTCGTAGTATCGTTCGTTCCCCGCCTCCTTGTCGTCGGACGTGAACTCGTAGTCCGATGCGTCGTCGAACTTGATTTTGGGGTACCGGCGGTCCGTGAGGTCTATCTCGCCGCGGCCGTACTCGTCCTCGTCGAGGAACATCACGCGGGACTGGTACCTCTTGGGGACAAACATGGGCACATTGCGGGGGTATAAGCTCAGCGCCCGGCTTCGCTCGGCGCTCGCGATCGCCGTCAGCAGCATGTACACTCTCAAACCGAACGCCAACATGTTGCTCGCGTAAACCTCACTTTCATTCCGTCCGTACTCGTTCGACCGACGTTTCGGTTCGCTATTGTTTGTTATTTTCGCTAATTCTCATCGTACGCGGTGCGCGAGAGCCGCGGTCGAAAGTTGCCCGCGCACTGGCGAAGATGTTGCTGCTCGGTCCCCACTCTGGCGGTGGTTACATAAATTTGTGACGTCCGCCTTACGCAATAGGGGCAGTGATAGCGTTGCTCGGCAACCGCGGTTTGGGTGACGTCACGACCTAATTGGTGCGAGCTGGATTGGGAGCTTTTTACCCCTTGCAACTTCACAGGCCAATGACGTCACACGACTATGCAATTTTTACTAATTATAATACTAAAGCTATTTTTAACGCTTTTCTGGTATTTCGTTAAGTGTGAAAAGTCCTGGCTGTATTGATCCCGGAGAGACATAACAGTTTTAATCGAGTACAGAAGAAGTTCGACATACGATATACGATAATAAGTCTACGATACGATAATACGATAGCCACTTAAAAGCTTAAAATTTGTTTCCCTGAGTCTCATAACAAAAATCCCTCGCACTTAACGCAATGTATACCTACGTTTAATCACGAAGCCTTAAACGCGACAATGATTATAAAATGAAATACGTGTGTACGAAATGTAGTTGTATGGAATATTAGTTAAAAAAATATATTTGCTACGACGTAGCTAGATCGTAGATGGTTTCGTAAAGTAATAAATAAGCTTATCGTGCACTAATCAATGCGAAAGTGTGTTTCACCTCACTCTAAACGACTGAATTCATTTTGATACAATTCTGCGTATATGTAGTACGAGTTGTAGAGGTAGATAATTCGGAAATAGGCCGAGGCCATAGTTCAATGGTCATATTAATTAGCCAGGTTAGACGGATTGATTAGTTTAAAGACAAAAAGTCCTGAGTTCAAATCACAATAAGAGAAAATATATTTTTTATGGGCCAATGAATTTTACATAGATAGGTCAGTGAGACGAGCACATAATTTTGTCTAACTCTACAAAGGGAAAATGTAATGTCACTTTTTATAACCTCATTCCATACTGTCTATAGTTTACGCGAGTAGTACTCATTTAAATAAGACACTTTAACGGTTTAAAACGCGATATATTAGTTAAACTTATTTGAAAATGGTTTTTAACTTCGGCCCGACGTTTCGGATGCTTTGCTTGCTTGCCGTGGTCAAAGCGTGGCTGCTGCACTAATATATCGCGTTTTAAACCGTTAAAACGTTTTATTTAAACCTCATTCCAGTCAATTTATAATATAGTTATTTTAATACAACAGAACATTAGAATAATCTATATTTATAAAAGCTGAAGAGTTTGTTTAAACAAGCTAATCTCAAGAACTACTGATTCGTATTGAAATAATCACTTTATGTTGGTTGGGCTATTTATCGAGGAAGATTTTAGATTACGAAACGTCAGACTGTGACTAATAAGAGCGACGAAATGGAGAGAAATGTGGAAAAACTGAGAAAATTATCTTTCAGGGCTTTCGTTGCGTGTTCTGTTAGCACTATTCAAGAAACTGATTGTCCTTTAAATGGAATAAAAAATGTCCGGGACAAAACTCCAAAGAAAGACGCGACGGGACACGGACGACGTAACAGCTAGTATTATTACATACAGCGCCATCTTACAGCGACTTAATGCTGTACTTGCGTTAAAGCTTTGAAATAACTTTCATTATCACTCGCTAAAAAGCTTATGATTTTTCTTTAGAAGCCTCTAGATGGCGTATTGGCAAATTGCGTCGGGTACCGATGAATACCGGAACGAAGAAGCTAACAAGTGCGTTTTGTATATTACGAATAGATAAGCGAACGAACACAACAAAGCTTAAAAGAAATTAGGATTTCATTGAGATTTGACCATGTACTAATTGATTATTTTATCAACAGACAAATAACAAAACATAACCTAACTTTTGACTACAGCCTTATACACAAACGCGTGATATCTCCTAAGGTGTTCAATTTGCATATTGTTGGTCAATAATTCACTCGCTGTACAACACCTGAGAGAAAATTCGCAAGACGGAGGTTGATATAAATTGTTCGATAGCGCAAGAAATCAATATTGTATAATACCACCAAATTAATTACTTCCATTTAGGTGGCGAAATACTTTTATATTGATATGTAGAGAAATTCGCGCAAGACTATTCTCTAACCATTCCAGAATATTAAAAATGCACAATGTTAGTTAAGTTTAACTTCTGCCGGTACAATAATTTTAAGTAGTTAGTAGTAGTTTGTTTGTAGATTACACAAGACGTACATATTTAAATAAAAACTTTTAATTATTTAAAACGCGAAATATTAGTTAACATATGATTTATCTGGTTTAACTATAGCCTGGCGTCAGTCCCTCCGTGACAACTGCTGTTACAAAGCGTCTGAAACGTCGGACCGTAGTAAAAAAAAACGTCAATAAAGTCACAGTTTTAAACTGTTAAAAGTGTTTTATTTGAATTAAATAGATTTTATAATAATACAAAGCGATGGCTATAAAAAATAACTGTTCAAATGATAAGCCAGATAATATATAACTTGACGTAACTGTTCTGCGGAAAATTCCTTTCAAATGACATGCGAAAAAAAATCATACGTCTACAGACTAGATCTGTTCAATTAAGTCTGTATGTAATAATACATACACCCATACTAAAGAGACGCGTTATAAACAATTACGCGATTACGGAGAAATTAAATCATTATTTTGAAATACTTTTCCATCGATAGCTTATCATTAAACTTAAATCGCGTACTTTCTTTACATCGGTGCCTTTACATAATACGACTTGACAGAAATTACACCAGTACGTGTGACGTGTTAACATAGGTATTTGTAGGATTACGCGACATTTAAAACAAATTCCAATTATATACTAATTACATAAATTCGCTGTCTGTGTATAACCTGTCCAAAAACCGCTGTAGACTAATGGTAGTATTATTTTTTTTAACTATATTACAATTATGAACGTGTGCCGCACTTATAGTAACAGATAAAAAAACAAAAAAAAAAACAAAATACTTATATTACAGGGGGCTTTCACGAAACACAAACGCTATTTTTGCTCTTTGATATCGAAATCAATGGTGGCAACAGTAATGACGAAATATTGACATAATGCTTTATAAAACTTTACTTTTAAAATGTGTGCTTAGTTATGCACCAGCCTATCATCTGTACGGAACCCTTTGACCATAAGTGCGTTGTGCAATTATTTATTCCACATCAAAGTGCACAACAAAAAAATATGCAATATTATGAAGAAATAAATAAATGGCTTACAATTACCACCAAGAAAAAAGCAACTCACATATTTACTTTGTTGTGGACGGATATCACTCGGCTGTTGCTGCAGTAACCGAATTGCTGCTGTGTCGATTTTAAGTGATGCCCCATGAATGCAGAGTCATTCCTTAAAAGGAAGCACAATCATAAGTAAAAAAAAAACTATATAAAAAATAAAATAAAATTATCATTATTACTTTACGTTTTATGATTTTTTAGCTGCAAAACATAAGAAATTGAACATTAACTTGCGAGGGTTAGGGCTGTATTTATGTAATCTGTACATCTGATCTAGTAACACGTTATTTATTTAACATAAAAAATCGTACTCAACTCGGATTTGTACGTCAACGAGAAATGTCGCGTGGCGTTGTCGTGTCGTATGTTATAAAAGCGCGCAGCTTAAATAATCGTGACAGTGTGACCATCTACAACCCGTTTTACCGGACAGATTTGAAACCTTAGTCTATAACACTACGTCGCGAAAGGCAGACGAAGGAGGCTTTATTTGCAATTCACATTTAATTAAATATTCCTTTATTTTTAAACGGAATTAAATAACAAATTTAACAGTTTATTTTGATGTAATTAGTTGATTAAAAAAATCGCGATTTTTACGACCATAGTTGATCAATTAATTTCGTATTTTTAATCTTATTAGATTTATTAGTCTTCGTATTTCAACAATTAAGGTTTTAGTGATCTGTTTATAACGGTAGTGCAGTCTGTGGTTTAGCGAAATATGAAGTGAAAGGGTATTAAGTGAAAGTGAGTGAATCTTGTTTTCTTTGTTATTAAGATGTGGCCTAGAACCTACATATTTTAAAGATTTTGCAAAAGCTCGTTAGTTAAATATTAAAATTAGTTAATATAATAATGTTTATCGTAAGTTGCTAGACCTTGCTTTTTGTGTAAACATTGGTTTTATTTAGGTTCTTTTTATTTTAAGCTAAAAAGATAATAAGGGAACTATTATTTTGCCTTCAAAAAAATATCTAGTCTTAATGACTTTGAAGTTTAGGCTAAAGTAAGATATATTTTATGTTGTGTATTCTGTGCCTTGCTAGACATAGGCTTTATATTATTTCCCCGGGATTTAAACTCTGAATTCGCGTTAAGTAATGCGGCCCAACCATTGAATTCTTATACAAACTTTGTTTAGTTTAATTAAGGTTGAAAATAAACATGATATTGTTAACGTTATACTTAATAAATACGGATATATTATAATCTCAATCAAATAAAAAACTTTTAACTGTTTATAATAATTCCTTCCCGCGATCACGGTTACTACATAGAATTCGTGACGTCAGTTAAAACCGACTTAGTTAATACATTTGTATATCAAGTTTGAACCCGTTAAAAATATTTTATTAATTAATGTTCTTATTTTTACGGTGGCGAGCTCTTGTCCTGGACATGAAAGGGATGGCAAAAATTCTAATATGTTTCTTCAAATTCGGTTCAGAAACTATTGAGAGTACCTCAAGAACATTCCTGCAATGTGTAAACATAAGTATAGTATACGCATCAAAAAGCGACAAAAATGGTTAATATTTTTCCCCATTTTCCATATTCCCGCTGTTTCTTCGCTCCTATTTTAGTTACATCGCGATGTTTGGTAGCCTAAGCCTTTCTCGATAAATGCTCTAACAGATACAAAAAGTATTTTTAATTCGAAACAGTACTTCCTGAGATTAGCGCGTTCAAACAAATAAACTCTTCAGCTCTATATATTAGTATAGATTAAGAAACAAATTTATCCAATTTAATTCTTGAAATGAAAGTGACTACAAAATCTATAATTACTAAAATCTAATTGTTGGTAAAAGTATGTGGTAAATCTCTCTCGAGGCGCCCTTAGTGAGAGTACTGGGAATTCCACTTTCGTTTCGAGCAGATTAGCATAAAATAATTGATATCTATAAAATTGAGCACTAACAGATTAATTCAAGGTCACGCGCCAAAAAGGCGCCGGAGCGAACTGCGCTTTCCCTGACTAATTGAACATTCTAATAATATCAAGAGAGAGCTTTTATCTTTATATATTTAATAAATAATTACATAGCCTTAGAAAACACGATATTGTTTAACTAATATATAATAATAGTAATAAATAACACTAATATCGCGTTTTAAACCGTTAAAGTGTTTTATTTAAATGTGTTCTCGCGTAAACACAGAAATTATTTAATTACATAGCTTTTCAAAAACGATACCTTGTTTAATGTTAAAGCCCCCCAAGCCGCAGGGGGACAGCGTGGTGGACCAAAGTACTTAAAGAGGAGACTCGGAGACATCGATTTTTAATTTAATCGTTTTAAAATCTCTACTAATATATAACGCTGAAGAGTTTGATGTTAAACTCAATAGTTTATTTTATTTTTTTACAGAAATGACAAACGACGTGTGACGATGACAATTAACATGTAAACTACGATGACACCAGTGAAAAATTATTATCTATGGTCAAAAGCAAACGGACAAAGCACAGATGACGCAATAAAGGAACGTTTGAAAGGGTATAAACAAGCGGTCGCGGAATGGCGGACGAAATGGCGGGAATTCAGTTTCGTGTTGCTACTCTTGCATGTGGGGCAAGTCAATGCAGCTGAAAGTAAGTAAATGACAAAATATAACAAATTTATAAACAATTTTTTTTTAGTTAATTAATTAAGCAAAATTGTAAATTACATATAAATTTGGTAAGGTACTTAGTGTTCTGATTTATTAGGATAGAATATCTTCATGCCTATTAATAAAATTAAAAATAAAATGCCCATTGACCATAAAAAGGTACATACGTGTAAAATTATAAAAAAACGTATAAGTAAATTCAAAGTCAGGCTCTGGCCATACAAATAAAGCATGCACATTGAAAATGTAACGGAAAATAAAAAAGGAATACTCAGGGGACACCCGGGTTTGAACCGGGGACCTCTCGATCTGCAGTCGAATGCTCTACCACTGAGCTATATCCCCGATATTGACGGAACCGAAATTAGTGTACATAAGTTATAAGTAAAGATATTATTATTAATTAATCAACAGTTAATACATATATGACATATTTTATTCCAAAAATTAAGAAATACAAAAACGACATATTAAATTTATTGTCCTTCTTTTAATTAAGCATTCTTCTCTTATTGGTTACAAATTTAAATCACTTTTTAAATTAGAACAATGCTTGGGGAATGAAAGACTTCGCCCTAACACTAAAGATGATTTAGATACACGTTAAATGCGTAAGGAATGTAAATACAATTACAATAAAAAGAGTGGCGGCGAGTTCTTTGCCAGTCCTTATCGTTCGTTCTACGTCCATAACTTGGATAACTGTAAATTCTTCAACCTTTTTACCTACATGGATAAATGATTTGATTTTGAATTTGAAAGTCACTAATTTTCTGAACAATTCCAGGTTTAACCTCCCGCGTCCTAGCCTCCTTCTTGGGCTATTCTACGTCTTGCTCCATCGGAAATGACGTCATACCTTGCACATTATCGATTTCCTGTTGGTTGCGAGGCGGAGCAAGGATCAAGGGATGTGGAGGCTGGCTGTTCTCTTGTTGTGTGGATGCAGACCTAGATAATAGGTACGTGTTTTTTGGGTATTCTTCTCAGTTATGTTGCTCTTTTGAACACTCTGTAGAAACGCGACGAACAGACAGACGACAAAAAAATGTTGACGAATCTATATTATTTTTTTCTCTATATTATTATATATTTATTTAAATGTGTGCTATTTACGTAAACTACACACAATCTCTGTATTTTTCAGTATACCATCATCAGATTGGCAGTACAAGCCGCCTCCAAAACTAAGGATACCACAGAGAAACGCAATTCCACCGAACGTGTTTCGGAGAAGAGTTGATGAGGATGTTAATCAAGTAAGGATTTGAATTTGTGTTAGAGTCAATGTAAGGCTTAGCGTTCTGTCATCGCGTTACGAATACGCCAATCTATCTATACTAATATATAAAGCTGAAGAGTTTGTCTGTTTGTTTGAACACGCTAAACTCAGGAACTACGGGTTCGAATTGAAAAATTATTTTTGTGTTGGTTAGAGCATTTATAGAGGAAGGCTATAAATACATCGCCCTATGACTAATACAAACGAAGATACAGCGGGAAATGTAAAAAAATTGGGAAAATTATTCATCATTGTGGTTTTTCCGCTGCAAAAACGGTTCAAGATACCCAAAAAAATATGTATGAGAGAATGATTCCTGTTTAAATGATCTAAAAAAAAGTCCACGACGCTATATATCTTTTAAAATTAAGTTTAACATAAAACACTTTAACGGGTTGAAACGCGATATATTGGTTAAACTTATTTGAAAATGATTTTTAACCCGGGGAAACGTCGGGCCGAAGTAAAAAAATAATTTTCAAATAAGTTTAACTAATATATCGCGTTTTTAACCGTTAAAGTGTTTTATTTAAATTTGTACTACTCGCGTAAACTATAGACAAGATTAACTTGCAAGAACGACGGAAAGAGACGCGACCTACGTCGTGACAGCATACATAACAGCTTAAGTGAATAAAGAAGGACTGCATAAACGAATTTTGATGTCCAAAATAAATTTTTGTAGCGGACGAAGTCGCTGGCACAGCTAGTACGAAATAGAACCTATCTTATGTTTAAGATAAGTAAGCCTTCTTAAGGTAAAAACAAGCAATTTCTCAAAGTACTGTGATGTTACTCTATAAATTAGGCTAATCATTAACACGTGATTACAATAAGTCAAGCAAACAAATACAAATTCTTTCGTTATAGAGTGTACTAGGCCCTATTAGTCTGGCTAGTCTCTTCCGGTGCATTAACAATCACCAATTAATATCTAAGTAACTACAGACTAATTTCTTAGACGATAAGTTTTTAAAAGCTAAGTATTACGTAGAAAGGAACTATATAGTGCTTAAAAACATCTATTTAAGATACTGTTTATAGTTTACGCGAGTAGTACACATTTAAATAAAACACTTTAACGGTTTAAAACGCGATATATTAGTTAAACTTATTAGGAAATTATTTTTAACTTCGGCCCGACGTTTCGGCTGCTTCTCCGGTTAAAGTGTTTTATTTAAATCTATTTAAGATGTCGTGAATCCCTAACTAATCTAATTATACTGGCTACTGAAACAGTGAAGACATAAAAAAACTCAGCGTTGGTGTTTTGCATTGAGTACTATATCCAACCATGTCTTTCCAACGAGGGGTAGACAAGTACACACCGTAGCGTGATTTATTTATTAATGATACAGAATAAAAATAATTAGATAAATAATTTAATTAGATTTAGAATCAGACGGTTCCTCAACAGCGCCCCACCCGAATACCGCGTCTGAATCCAATGATAAACTGTGTCAACAGATGGAGTGTGGTGTTCCATCCACGAGGATTCTTCAAAAGCGCATCATAGGTGGCCGGGAAGCCCGCTTCGCGGAGTTTCCTTGGCAGGCGCACATAAGGATATCAGAGTTCCAGTGTGGTGGGGTACTTGGTAAGAAAGATTTCGTTGTAAATTGCTTAAGACCATTTTTAACGTGACCACGACCGAGAATACGTCGACCTATTTCTTCTGATGTTATGGGTAATAAAGAGTGCGCGAAAGTTATTTCGAATACGAAATTTGCTTCGTTGTTTGTTTGTAATGTTTCTATCTATTCTAGTTGGCTTAACGATAAAAATAAAGAAAGATTAAACAGAGATCCTTATGAAAGAGGAAGGCAAGCATGGTATTCACTCGATGGAAGGTGAACTTACCCCTACTTGCTTTTACAATGCCGGTGGGACCCAAAGCGAGTCTACCTCCAGAACAAGATACCATCGTACCGTCGGTCCTACACCACATTTCCCCACTCCAACGACTTACTACAAGCCATAACCATATATTTGAAAACTTTAATATTTTTCACCATGGCATCCACAATGTCGGCTCTCTCTTTCTGATTATTAATAAATATTATGTTTTTCAGTTTCTCGTCGTTACGTAGCTACCGCCGCGCACTGTGTATCTCGGGCCAGGATCCGAGAAATAGCAGTGTGGCTTGGGGCACACGACACCAATACCGGGTCAAACACCGCCCGGAGATTGGGGTAATATAAATAACTCTTATTAATTGTTACTTAAAATGTATCCCTTAGGTGCACCGAACACTTCTGACTGTAAAAAACGCGATATGTAATGTACTACAGCCCGTTCAATTGATAGAAGATATAATACCCTAGTCATATAACATTTTGCTCTTTATAGAGCTAATGTTAATAACCACAGACTGGAAGTGAGAATTTCAATATTCCTACCAATATATTCAAAAAATAGAAAAAATAAATTATTTAAAAATGTTGGATTAGGTGGGAATCCAATCTGCGACCTACTAACAATTAAATCAACTTTTGGTCAAAATATTTCATTACATGGCAAAAGAATGTTCACCAGGCTAGATAGTATTTTAAATAAAAAAAAAGATCTATTTAAATTCTTATGTTTATACTAAAATTAAGAGAATTATTTTTCTCACTTCCAGTGTTATACAGAAAGTTCTTCACCCGCTTTTCCAATTCAGAATAACTCAACCGGACCGTTACGATATAGCCCTACTACGATTGTCCAGGACAATCACATACACTAGTCACATCCTCCCGATCTGTCTGCCCGACATCGAATTGGAGTTATGGGGCAAGTCAGGGGTGATCGCGGGCTGGGGCAAAACGGACGCCAGCAACGGACACACTGGGACTAATTTGTTGAGATCAGCAACTGTTCCTATCCTGAGTGAGTCTGCAGTAGAACGATTTCAAATTGAACAATTTAAACGGTTTCAAATACGAAATATATAACACATATTTTAAATTAATTTGTACTAAGATGTTGCGGATGCTTTGCAGCATATGTGGTCATGGGGGTGGCACTGCTTGCAAAGCTTAGTTAATATGTTTTTTACATAAAAAAATACCACAAAAGTACAGTAATAATAAAATAGATGTATATGGAGGTAAACCAAGCTTTTGTTGTACCCGGAAGTAGGCACAACGCCGATTCTCAGTGATATGTTGACCTAATATTTTGCGTTTTAACCCGTTAAGTATTGTATCTGAGTAACCTTGTATGTACAAACTAGTAATTAATTTGAAATCCATGTTGTTTTATAGCATAAATAAATATTTCATTTGGTCTTATATTAACTATTCTTTGAAATTATTATTTGTTCTTGTCAAGTAGTGAATATTCTAATGACGCCTATCTTCCAGGCATAGAGCAATGTATCAAGTGGCACAGAAGCAAGCAGATCTCCGTGGAGCTACATTCGGAGATGATCTGCGCTGGACATTCTGATGGACACCAAGATGCTTGTTTAGGTATTAAACCCACAATATATCCGCTGGTGATGCTGCCACCTAGGAGTCCGCAACACGACTTCAAATCGGGTCGTCCCCTTGGCATATGGTTTTATAATTTGGAATGCAGTTTCAGTATTCGCCCAGCATCCTTAGCAACTACAGCTTTCAACTTATTGAAACAAATTAACAATGACATTTTGAAAACGTTAATATTTTTCACACGATGGCATTGTATAAATTAAAAAAACTTGCTCTATTGATTAATATTAAAAATAAAAGATATTTCATATCGCAACAGCAAGGAACGCCGGTTCAAGTCCTCGCTCGTGTAAATTTTTGAATATAAATAGACTTTTATATTATAGCTGTGCCAGCGACTTTGTTCGCGTAATATAGCTATTTTGGGTTACCCATGACGTCATATGGATAAATTTTCCCAGTTCTACATTTCTCACTTTTTCTGTCACAGCCTGATGTTTTATAGCCTTCCTCGTTGAATGCTCTAATCGACACAAAAAAAAAATTTCAATTCGTACCAGAAGTTTCTGATGATAATCGCATTCAAACAAACTCTTCAGCTTTATAATATAAGTCTAGATAATGGCATCTTTTGGCAGTTGCTCAACAAGCAAACAAATCTAATCTGTTTACAGGCGATTCCGGGGGCCCTCTTATAGTGAAAGATAACGGTCGCTTCTACCTAGTGGGAATAACGTCTGCCGGCTTCGGTTGTGGGGTGGACCACCAGCCAGGCATCTACCATAATGTGCTCACAACAGCGTCTTGGATTAAGGATGTGATAAGTCCCTCTAGTAATTATGTGGACTTTTGATGTAAAATAAGTCGTGTTTTATTTATGGGACTATTTATACATATCACACTTTTTATCAGATAAAATAAAAAAAGAGTATTTTTAAGGGGAGATTAATTACTGTCTGTTTTGGGTTCGAATTTTGCTTTTGTCAACACCTTTTTAGTCCCTCTTTATATCACTTTCGATGACTCTCATTTGCGTCATCCCGAAAACCTAAAAATGGCCGCGACAAGTGCATAGATTACTAAAGTACAGGTACAAAAACCTATTTGGTTTGTAATAGACTTTTATTTATTTCGTACTCAAATTGCTTCAAAATAGTAATACTGAGCTATTTTAAATTGACAATTGCATTTAAGAAGAAATAAAGAAGTCTAGCTTAGTTATATATGGTCTGTTGTCACAAAAATTGTGACTTTTATTGTATGTTTTTTTTTTTATTGTGATTTAGGTAAAGTTATTTTTTTATACTTTTTCCTTATTAATGTAATCAATATTTTTATTGTTAACCTTTATTCACTTGACTTTACTTATTGATCTCCTATATAATATAATGTGTTATTCCTGTCATGTGTAAATAAGTAATTTATTTTTAAAAAGTGTTTTATTTGTAGTTCTTATTACTCCAAAAAATAAAAAACATGAGTATCAAATATACTATTAATTCTACTACTACTATTTAAAACAAAATCTCTTATACGCCTTACACAAGCTGACTAAAAACTATGACACTCGTTGAATTATTTCACTTCGCCCGTTGTCACACGTCATATTTGCGAACCAGGGATCGAAGTCCCCTATAGTAGGTACACATGCCACTAGACCGCAACGGCTCTCATAATAATCACAATATAGTTAAAAGGAAAATTAAGTTTTGATTCATTCGTGAATCACAACGTATCCCAGACTTATAAATGCGTTGTTTTCAATTCAGCGTATCTCGGAACTGGTAAAGTCACTTTCAACAACCGTATCTCTGTAAGGAAACACTCGCCATGCATAGTGGAGGAAAATAAACTTTAAAGCTAATGAAATAAAGTCGATATTGGCTTGTTGGTGTTTATGATTATTCAAGTTTGCGGTTGGTACTTTTAGCTTTATTTTGAATTGTATACTAGTTAATATAAGGTTGATATTTGAATGGATAACTGAAAACGGTAACCACAAAGCGTGTAAATGTCAAACAGCGCAGTCGGCAAGAATGTCGCGGTACGGCGACGACGTATTCGATTTTTAAAATAACTGGCAGGCGACAAAATGGTGGGAAAAGTGTGTTTAACTTTTTTATTTGTGACGATCCTGGCGGCGGTGTTGGATGGCCAGACATTGGGAGGTGAGTGAAAGGAGTTTTTGCACAAAGAGTTCTAACTGTGCTCTGCTAGGTGAAGAGAAAGTACCGTCCAGAGTTGTTAGTGGATTGAAGGTTATTTTGTAATACCGCAGTAAAGGCTGAATTTCGCTATACAAGTTTGCATTAAATACGCCGGAGGCAAATATATTTACCATTCTCGAAATATCATTTCTGATAGTACAATATGCAATACGATAAGAAACTCTCAACTATCATTGTTTTTTTATAATAATTAAAATTTAGCGTATGTTTATATCAGTATATAAATGACAAATATCACACATTAACTGAGTTCACATTGGAATAAAATTTTTATAGTTTAAGTTGCGAAATATATAAGGCAATTTTTTATTTATTTTAACAACGACCTGATTTTACAATGCTTTAATGCAAGGGTAACCTTGAAACTACATCGTAAAATGTCGCGTGGTGGTTTTAGCTTTAAACGGTTAAAAATGGTAAAAACGGCGCGTTAAAAAGTATATGAGGCACATAAACTGCAGATAATAATAACGCTTAACTGAGTTTAATTATTATGTGTAACTTTCTAAAATGTTATCAAAGTAAATTGGTAAAATCAAGTAGATATATAATTAAATTGTTCAATGCATTAATAGCATGTAAACAATCTTAATAATTACGACTCGACCGCAAATTGCTCGCAGCTGGAATAATCACTTCCTTATCTTTCTATTATTATGAACATTCTTTAAGAAAAAAGTGATTAGAATATTATGGGAGTCGATATTAACTCTCTGCACATTTGTTTATCGATATGTTGGTATTATTGTAATGCAAGTTAAGTAAAAAAAAATATACCGGTTGAAACACAAACTAAGTTAGTTAAATAACATAATAAGACCCGATCTAAGAAGTTAAGTTAGTGCTTAGAAGTTTACAGTTATAAAGATAATTATTTAAGATAATTTTTATTCTTCTGCGAACATAATTCTTACCAGCCACCAAAATTAAAAAAAGTTACTTGTCACATGTTTAGTTTTAAAAAAAAGCTTATGCGAGTAGTACACATTTAAATAAAACACTTTAACGGTTTAAAACGAGATATATATGAGTTAAACTTGTTTGAAAATTATTTTTAAGAAGTGTTATTTTTTATTCAAATGTTATTGTACTTCAAAATAAATAAGACGCTATAACAAATACTTATTTAAAACAGTGTAAAACATTTAGAACGGCGAATGTAAACATTTTTTTTAAATAAAGAAATTTGTACTTGTCAGCTGAAGCTTCAAATTCTATAGAATGTCAAAAAGCTCAATTTTAAAATTACGCATTATATACGCAATCTCATGGTACTATTATATAATTTCGGATGCTAGTGAAATATAAATGAGCAGATGGGCAGATAGAATTCAAGGCTAACGGCCACTTAATATTCCACTCGCATTTTAAGCACGGTAGTATGGGGCAACTTATATGTAAAGCTCGTAAAAATATCTCAGATAACAAGAAGAGGGATGTCTGCATCAAACACTGTCTGTAGTTTACGCGAATAGTATACATTTAAATAAAACTGTTTTATCGGTTTTAAATATATTTTGCGATTAAACCTGTAAAAGTGATTTATTTCAATGACTACTAGTTGCCATTTTTGCAATCTTATTTAAAACTAGCCGACCTGGCAGACGTTGTTTTGCCTACCTTAAGAGAAAAATGTATTGCGGAATATTTTTGAGATTAGCTAAAGAACAATAATTATTTCTTACAATTTTGGGTGTCTAGAATCGTTTTCACAGAGCACGCAACAAAAGCCCTTGAGGATGAATAATACTCAAAACTCTGATTACATTGCTTGGACAACGATGACCGCTTGTAATTGAATTACATTTTTTACTGAAACATAAAAAAAACAAAACATAATAATATCTTAACAGTATAACTTAACATTAACAGTCTAAGATGTGTGTGCTGTTAGTAGAATACAACAAACATTAGAAAAAAAAATTGAGTAAAATTGGTCCAGGCGTTGTTGAGTTATGTGCTTGAACATTTTGCGATTCATTTTTATAGTATAGATATAGCTCCTGAATGTAAAAAAATATTTTTAACCTTGTTATGGAGTGTAATTCCCAGGGAAACAAAAAATGGTTTCGGTCGGGCAGGGCACAAAGAACGGATCAGTGAAACGAACACAAAAATGTGTTCGCCCCAAGCCCCAGGTGGGGGAAACGGGATTTTACACACTATGGAGTGTAATTATATTTCTAATAAATTTGCAAGCGTATTTAAATTACTTAAGATTTGTATTGCTGTTCCTAAGCCGTACCAGCGTCAAATGAAAGAGTTCAACGCGCTTACATCTGTCAATGCGTTGAATTCTAACCTATGTAGGTCAAAATCGACTTAAATTTATTATGCTTTTATTAACTTCATTATAGGTGAAATAAATTAATATGTCTAAGTTCCTTCTTAAAATATAGGATATCACATTTCTACAACTATATTACTTTTATATGACTCGGTTTTAAAGTCCCCCGCTCTTCTTCCCGCATCAAGGAGACGTTTCACATTCCCACAGCGAGCACTAACTACGTGAAAAATAGTTTCATTATAAGAAGCTGTGATTTTTATAATAAGAATTTGAATTCAGTCGATATTTTTTCTAGTGGTATCTTTAAATACAAAACTTGTATTTGTAAATATATCTAAAGTAATACTTAAGTCGTAGTTACAAAATTATTGTTATTACTTTTTAGATATTTTCTTTTACTGTGTATCTTGTTGTATTTACGTCACGTATATTTAATTAAGTGAAACTTTAGGTCTATTTGTTTAACATTTTAAGTAATCCATTGTTTTATAAGTGACTGTTTGTTTCTTTTCCAAATAAAATAAAAAATAAATAAATAATATATATACCTCTATAGTGATGAAAAACATGAAAGAGCCTGGGTTTGAATCCCCGGGAAAATTAATAATCTTTATCAGCAGGGCACAGACCCTGACCAAGTACGGGCTTTTAAAAATTAAGAAGCGAAATAGAAGCAAAGAATTTGAGATTCTTTACGTTGGTTTCCCTGCAGGAGGAAAATGTATGTGTTAAGGTCGAAATTACATTGCGCGATAGGTAGTATCAATAGGTCGAAATTTGAAGATAATATGTATGTGTATGTGTGTACGGTACCTCAATTGGTTAAAGCACGGAACGCTATTAATGTCGGTTGAAGTCCCGCCCGTGTCGTAAACATTTTTGTATCTAAAATCTTTTTTTTTTATTAACCTTGTCTGATCTTTGCCTAAAAAAATGTGATATCATAACATTGTAATGATTTCTAAAGTTAAAAACTTATAAAAAAGACATTGTTTCACAAAATTATGGGACAATTTCACGGTTCCACGCCTAACTATTGTTTTACAATCGTCAGACTGTGAAGAGTAGGTTAAACTAACAATTTTGGATTTGAATATTTTGAATACGGGATTTGACTTTGATAAATATTTAGAGAGAGGTATTTAAAAAGTTTTAAAGTATATTTACCCAGCATTGAAATCCACAGTGAGGAGAAATATAAGAATATCGATAATGTGGCAGACAATATAATCTATACTAATAAAGCTGACCAGTTTGTTTGTTTGTATAGTTGAACGCGCTAATCTTAGGAACTACGGGTTCGAATTTATGTTTATGTTGGTTAGAGCATTTATCAACGACGGGTATTGCCTATAGAAAACATCGCACTGTCACTAATACAAGCGAAGATAAAGCAATTTAGTGCTTACCTAATATTAAGTTTTATTTTCCGGTTCTATAGCCAAATAGTTAACCGTGTTACTTAGCATTGCGTTAAGCATGCGACGTCTTGGGTTCGAGTCCCGGGAAAGCAATAGATTGTTGTGTTCAAGTAGGGCACAGAAGTTTAATCAACTACTTTCCTGTAAATAAAACCTATGAGTGGAACGGCCACAGGTTTCGAGTCCCAGGGAGAGAATGGATTGTTTTGGTTGAGCAGAGCGAGAGAGATTGTTTTGGTTGAGCAGAGCGAGAGAGAATCAAAAATCAAATACTTGCCTGTAAAAACCGATTAGTGAAAAGGACATATAAATATTCGCTCCATGCCAAATGAGAAAACAGGATTTCCCTGTTACCAAGTATAATTTTCAGGTTTTGGAGGTGACCGAAGGGAATGGCATATTGTAGTACTTAACATCCTCCCAAAATAGCTTTCATGAATTTTCTAACTGATATTTTCAGGGCCCATGCATGGTAAAGTCGTGGTCTGCTATGTAGCCACCTGGGCTGTTTATAGGCCAGGCGCCGGAAAGTTCGAGCAAAGTGACCTAGAACCATCGCTCTGTACTCACCTCGTATATTCTTTCGCTGGGCTTAACGAGAACACAAACAGCATCAAGAGCTTAGGTAAGTCAGTTGTCTAGTTTACGCAATTTAAATGTAATACTTTTAACGGTTTAAACCGCGAAATATATTTGTTAACATATTTACGAATTATTTGTACTACGGCCCGACGTTTCGGAATCTCTATCAAGCCATGAACTGGATGACTCGATGTTAAAATTACTAAGCCAGAGCCATCTGTTTCATCGTAGTTGTCATTTGAAGAAACTCGGGCTGTACTTAAAATAATTTGTTAAAAGTGCCTTAGGTAAGTTACAATGCATGAATTTAAATCCCGGATTCAGCGAAATACTATTTTTCTTGCTAAATGATTGTATGTTTTCATCTATCTGTTGTAGACCCATGGCAGGACCTCGAAGACAACTATGGAAGAGCAGGGTACAAACGGATGGTGGCACTCAAGGAGAGATACCCACACCTAAAAGTGACTTTAGCTATCGGAGGCTGGAACGAAGGTTCTATAAAATATTCCAAGATGGCCGCTTCAGCGGAGACAAGGTCGAAATTTGTGCAGAGTGTTTTATTCTTTTTGGAGTAAGTTATAAACCATTTTTTAACTAACAGTGCCAGCGACTTCGTCCGCGTAGATTAGTTATTTTGATCATCAGCATTGGCTTTAGCAAACCTCCTTACTCTTTACATATTATAGCTGTTAATCTTGAAAGATAGACATATATTGTCGCGTTATATATTTAGAACATTTAACTAGAAAATATTCTTTGCTCCATACTTTTTGGGTACCTTGAACTGTTTTAGCAGCGAAAGCAACGGAAAAAAAATACATATAGAAAAAATCATTAAAGAACACTTAAAATATTTTGTAATAGAGATTGTAAGTAATTAATCAGACTTTTAAAAACAATAAGTTATTTCAGTAAATATAACTTCGATGGCTTGGACCTTGATTGGGAGTATCCGGCGAAGAGGGACGGAAGACCAGAAGATAAAGCCAACTACGTTTCATTGGTTAAGGTAGAGTGCATTTTACAGTAGTCCTAGACGTTAATCCTGGGGAAACATAAGTTTCGGTCGCGTTGGACACAAAAGTCTGATGAAAAACTAGCCTGTAAATAAAACTTAATCAGTCAAACAGATACCCATATTTCATATAAGTCGACAGGGCATTTGATCCGAGACCTTCTATCAAGTGGACAGGATGTAAAACAGACAATCATAGGGTTAGCTTGATGGAAGATGAAAATACCCCAGCTACATAACATGTAAACTAGATGTGTGTATTTTGGCTTTGGATATTCGAAATTCCACAGACTCAAAACTTTTTAATCTGTGGGCAATGGTTCATAACACGAAGAGAATTTCGATATTCCCAAGATGTTTCAAAAAAATTATAAGTCGAGTAGAAGCAGGTTGGACCCATGGCCCGTTTATTGCCATACATCAGACTATCAAAAATCACTCAAACTTTCGCAGGATCTAAAAGAGGCTTTCGAGCCAAAAGGCTACATCCTAACAGCGGCTCTTGGTGCTGGAAAGGAAACCATGGACGCAGCATACGACTTGTCCAAGCTGAGTCGTTATCTGGACTTCATCCACATGATGTGTTACGACTACCATGGGACATGGGACGGAGTGGTAGGGGCCAATGCACCGCTCAGGGGAACAAATGACCAAGACTTCCTCAGTTTGGTAAGCAATTGAATATTTAAATATCTTTCGAAAGATTTTATAAATGTTGAAATGAAAGAATTTTCCAAAAGATTGTCCTATCTCTACACCTAGAATGTGTTCATGACAAGATTGAGGGAAATAAAATAAAATTAATTATCAAACTAAATTTAAAAATTAATTTGGTATTTTCCTATTAAAAAAAAGAAGAAAAATAACAAACACTTCTTAAATTTATTAATACTAAAATTGATGAATTTTTTTACGTAGCCGAGAATAATATATATATTTATATAATATAATATAAGCTTTTGTATACTTTAAAGATAATATAGAAGTTTTTTTTTATAATATTCAAAATAGCGAAAGTAACGGTTTATATACCTAACAAATAAAACAGAAACAAAATAAATGTATATAAAGGCGAATAACCTTATAGCTTAAACAGTAAAATTGGCACTAATAAAAAAGGTAATATAAATTTTATGTTTATTATTTATTATTTCCGACTATTTTTCTATACTTACTTACACCGCTGGCGCGACCCAAAGTGGGTCTTCGCCTCCACAAAAAGAGAACGCCACTTCCGTCGATCCTGTGTCGCGGTTCGCCACTCAATTATTTTTATCACACGATTATTTCCCTAAAGGAATACACAATCAAGTACATGCTTTCTCATGGCGTAAGCCCATACAAGATGGTGTTGGGGCTTCCGATGTACGGCCGCAACTTCATCCTGGAGAACCCTGGGGTCAAGAAGATACTCTTTGGTGTGACGACTGCTAAAAGCCAAGGTTTCGCTGGGCCGTTCACGAAGGAAGCCGGTTTTATGGGATATAATGAAGTTAGTATGTCGTATTATCTTCGTGCAACGTCATTGAGAAAAATGAAATGCTCAAAAGCAATTGATATTGAGCAAACAAATATCCTAAATAAGTACATATTTTTATAAAACACGCAACGGTTTGAAACGTGAAATGTATTCCCTGACTTATATTTAGATTCGAAATAATACATTGATTGAGTATTTGGAGCTTAAAAGCTCAATTGTAGATCAATACCACAGAACATTGTAGATGTAGGTTCGTATCCCGCCGTGTTATCGATTCGTTTAATCTAAATAGATTTTTAAATATTTTCCTCTATGACTTTTCAAAACCAAAAAGCTTGATGCACCAATATTTCCTTGAAAGGTACATGGTTCGATTTATTTTTGGTTGAATAACAGAATTTGGCAGTATTCAACAGACAGCGCCTGCGCAATATCCTATATATAATTAGCTTTTAGTTATTGCAAGCAATAATGAATCTGAATGTTAAAGGTGTCACGGGCTTGACTCTCATCTATTTCTAATTCCTAAGCTTTGTTAAGGAATTCTAAAATTCCACTAATATATAGATATTATCTCCAGATATGTTCGGAGACCACGAATACATCCTCCGGTTGGACTCAGCACTGGCACGAGCAAACCGCAACGCCATATTTGCGGGATGGTGGACGCGTCGTAACTTACGACAACGCGAGATCAATTGCTATAAAAGTGAAGTACGTGTGATAAATACTCTCTTAGACTTTCATTTAATTATAACATTTTTTACAGTATACATTTATACGAGCTCGTCGGTCTAATGGTAGCAATGTATGGCTAATGATCAAGAGGTCGTGGGTTTGATTTTGAAATGGGTGGTAGGAATATAGAAATTCCGTCCGGGTTACGCACCACCGCAGATGAAAAAGCAGTGAAGTTTAATCGCGTGTCGTTGTCAGTCTGTGGATTTCAGAATATCCAAAACCAAAATAGGTCGACGGCACATCTTGTTTTGATGCTATAGGCTGGAGTATATTACCTACCATTACCATTACCTCCTCTATCATTAAAAAACAATTATATACTTCATAAAGCGTATTTCACTAGTAGCTATCGTTAGCCAAATGCCACGTTCTTGTGGTTCATTTCATACTATTGATTTAAGAGTCGCACCGAATCCTGTAGTTAATCGAGCTACTTCTTTTGTGAAACTACATTCAAAATGTCGTACGGTTAGTAATTTATATGACAACTTACAACACACAGTCAGACATTAAAACCCTTTTAAAATAATTTTAATATAGTCACGAAATGAAATTTTCTATAATTTTGTTCTAAAATTATAGAAAATTCTTCATTTTGACCGTCTCGCGACTAGCATTTAAAATTGTTGTATTTCGAGGGTTTGAATAAAATCAAAACATGATATTTTTAAGACAATATAATAAAATTATTGGAGTGAAACACATTCAAGGATGGATTAGAATTACATTTTTTTTTTAATATTTAATGGCCTGGTAATTAGAATTACAAATGGCTTGAGTAATAGACAATCAATAATTTCTTCTAGACTAGCCATAGACTACGGCCTCGGAGGTTTGATGGTGTGGAGTATAGACACGGATGACTTCCGCGGAGCCTGTGACAGCGAGAAAGATGCCTACGTTGATTTCGTCGAGAGATATAACAAAATCGTAGATGAACCTATACTGCAGGACGCTTTGAAGACCCTCAACTTACCTGATGGTACGTATATCTTCTGTTGAAAGCACCAATTCGATTAACAAGTAGTTCTCGTTTATCCGTTTCTTACTTAAGGTGTAAATCAAGGATAAACACTCAACTTTTTACGGACTCGGGTTATTAATTTGCCCCACCTTCAAACTAAACTCATAAGATAGATTAGTCTTCAGAATATTTCGTGTGTATTAATGGACTACTATTTATTTATTTAACTCTGTTGCAACACTTACTAAGTAAAAATTGGGGAAAAGAAAAAATTTAATTACTAGTTATCACGTGTAAAGGACGGCCTTATCGCTATAGACTAGTGTGTGTGAAATCCTGGTTCCCCTCGTGGGGCATGGGGCGAACACATTTTTGTGTCCGTTTCACTGATCCGTTCTCTACAGGCAACTAGTTGATCAAACTTCTGTGCTCTGCCCGACCGAAACAATTTGTTTGTTTTAATGGAATTCGAACCCAGGACCTCTCGAGCTTAACGCAATGCTAGGCAATACGTTTCACCATTTGGCTACAGAGGCGGTTATAGACTAAAATATTGTATTGGGCATTTTAGTCTGCATCAAGTGGACCTCGCTGTTAGGATTATATTTTCTTGCGCCTGTTGATGTGAGGAACTATGGAGGTGTACGAAATTTAGATTTAATTTTCGGTGTCCTTGAAACTTTTTGGCCGGGCTGAAGTTACCGCGAATGGTTGCGCAGAATGCAAAAAGCAGATATGAATGCTGCAGGTATGGTTGAGAGCAAGGGGGTGAAACGGAGCGGAGTGACTCGGCTTTTTGCTTAAACCATCCGCAACATGGCGGCCGCGCTAACTTCAGCCCGGGTAAAAAGTTACAGGGAACTCCAAGTTAAGTTTCAGTAAAGACTTTTTATATTAAGAATTGTCTCGTCATCCCACGAACTACAAAACGATTTTCTACACTCACATTCTTCTGACCTCCTCTGTCATAACCATTCGTTTGTTTTAGCCAATCGCATAGAAAACCTAAGCAGACGTACAGCATACGTCGTGTCGAACGGTCGCTTACACCTCCGGCTACCAGAAGAACAATACTCCAACTACAATCTCATGAGGACCATAAATGAGGCGACTTTAATCGCTTTAGAAGAAAAGAGAATCCTGGACGAAATAACATTAGTGACGAAGAAGAATGAAATTAAAGACGACGACGCGCCTGGTTCGGCTGCAGTCGTATCTAGTAGCTTTATATCTTTGTTGATAAGTTTAATTGTAATGACGTTTTATTGATATTTAACTATGCCAAGTCCGATATTCATTGGGAAAGTAACATATTAAATTTAGGCGGGAAAATATTAACAAATCGATTATAAAAGTCTGTAGTTTACGCAAAATATATAACTAATTTTTAATTTAACTGCGGCGCGATGTTTCTTATGCTTTAAAATAATTATTAAATAAAAATTAGGTTAAATAATATATTTTGCGTTTTAAACTGTTTTATTTAAAAGTATATGAATTCTGATGTTAAAAATAATACGGACGCATTTTTAATGAATAAACATAATCTGAGAAAAATGTATATAATTATCCGTGTATATTAGACATTGTTAACTCTCCTTCGGTTCGTCCCTCGGTTTTTGTTTTACTAACTAGAAATATTTCAATATTACTGCCATTTGAAAATACTCAATTCTCGTAAGGGGTACAATTCTGACAGGTGTTACCTGCTTTTGTAAATACAATGTTTATTTAATTATTTTTGAAATAAATATTTTTTTTGTAATATAATGCGTTTCTTATATTTCGTTAGTCACAATAAAGGTTAGTAACAAATTTTAAAACAGTTATTAAATTCATAAATACTTTATTAAATTCTACACAATCACTAATAATTTAAACTCTAGAGGTCTTCGTACGGCGAGCCACAACGAACGTTGTAGAAATGATCACAAACCTGGAATTTTATATAGTTTCATTCGATTTTTTTTTGTTCAAAACACACACACTGAATCGCTTGCTTTGTCCTGTGTCAGATTCCGTATATCTATGAGGCAAATAGTTTAACAGACTACTGTGCACGGCCAAAACAATTCAACTAATTTAGGACACGAACACTCAATTTGCTAGAGCAACAGCACGAAACGTGGATGCCGGTTCGAGGGCAAATTCTTTTCAGCCTTAAATCGAATTTTAATTTATTTACTGTGCTATATAACATCCCCGGGATTCGAACCTCGAACGTCCTTAACACTAAGCAACAGGTTAATTATTTTAAAATTAAATTGTTTATCGTTATCTATACCTTAAAATAATAAATTACCTGAAACTGTTCATTAAAAAGTGTCCCATTCGTGCACAGGTCGGTGCTAACTAACTGATGGCGCCAACAGAAATGGTAAGCCTAGTAAACCATACAAACATACATAATCATTATTAATCAAACTTAATAACTTCTATGCTAGAATGGAGTGCAATAGACGGCCTTGAGGCAGGCAATCTTTTTCAGGCAAAAGAAAAAAAGGAATAGAGAAAATGAGATGTGCTAGGTAGGCAAAACATATTACTTGATACAAACAAAAAAGAGTCTACAGACCTGAAAAAATACGTGTTTGTTTAGTTAAATTAAAGGACTACCTGATAGCTACTCTCACCAGCTTACTCTCACCTGACAGCCGCTCTGCACATCAGCATAATAACCTCTGGAGCGAGCTGCACAGCTAAACTGTGTTGGTGGAGGCTTCTCGAACACAGGGTATAAGGGGGGAGAGTGTGGGAGGTGTAAGATGTGGTACACGTCGTACGGGACTTGTGGCAGCGCGGTAGTAACCGCTGTTAAAATAATATAGGATCAAATACTGTCTATAGTTTACGCGAGTAGTACACATTTAAATAAAACACTTTAACGGTTTAAAATGCGATATGTTGGTTAAACGTCGGACCGAAGTTAAAAATCATTTTCAAATAAGTTTAACTAATATATCGCGTTTTAAACCGTTAAAGTGTTTTATTTAAATATAGGATCAAAATAAAACACATTTAACACCCTCTATCTTCAACCCCCGTGACCACAAAGCAACCGAAACATCCAAATCAGGCCGTAGTTAAAATACATTAAAAATAAGTATGCATTTATGTATTTCACGTTTTAAACCGTTAATAGTCTTGTATTTCACTGTGGGAAGTTTTCCAATTTTCCCTGAAACTATCAATATTACTACTATTAATTCAAATGTCTTTTTCGTTATTTTTATTTAAAGTAGTTGTAAAAGCTGATCAGATTTTTGTGAAATTAGGACCTATCACGTTTGACCCAATATGTTAAACCGATTTTAATATACATTAATATTTTAACTAAAATAATCCTAACATTAAAACATATAAAAAATACGTACTCACCGAGAAATAAAATTACAACTTTAAACATTTTAAAATTTAAATTATAAATGAAACATAAATTAAAGTTGCGATACATGCGCACGCGTTGTTATCTAATAAAAGAGTAAGTAGGTATTACCTTTATTAATAATTTAGAAGGTGATAGTACAGATATGGGTCTGTGGATGGTGATATGCAACCGCATAACATGCTTTTATAATAGCTCGGAAAGATATTTTTTTAGCCACGCTAATTTTAAAACTTTTTTTCATTATATCTGATAAACTATTTTTCATTTATCGTATTTACGTGACTTTGTTATAATTTTTTTAGAACTTATTATCATTCAATTAACTTTTTAAACTTTACCCGGCAACCATGGTCACACGGGTGGACACAGTAGATGTAGTTGGTTAAATAAATCGTTACAAATATTTCATAGTACCTACTTCTCACGTTAGTTACAACCACGACTTATTTATATATGATTTGTTACGATTCTGTTTATTTCCAATATTCACAAATAAATAAATTAAAAAGAATCGTTTTAATGAATCTTGTTCTTTGGCCAAAAGCTCGCAACAGGTTTTGCTCCATCTATAGGGAGAGTAGTAACATATATAAATATAATAAAATACTTTATAGCGCAAACAAATAAAATACAAATATTTTACATATACATCTTTTATTGTGACATGTTTCAATATTTATGAAACTGATAAATGAATAGGGCGTTACTGCATAACGCCATCCATAGATCATTTTTCGCATGACCCAAAGGCTAAGTTACTGTACGACCTTCTATGTCATCTAATATACCCATACAGATTTATACACTAATTTTATATATTCATGATCACTTCATATTTCATTTAGTAATTGCTCACATAATATACTTGAAAAGTGGCAGAGCTTTTTACGGGCCACGAAAAATAAGACGGTAACCGAAATGCGGATTTCGGTTTGACATAGTAACAATAGAACTAAGTACCCATTTACTGTTAGCCTATATACTTTGATACCGAGGAGTCAAAGAGCCCGTCATTTCATAATATCTTAACTTAATTTAGATTTAAAGTTGAATTAGAACTTGTACTTTTAATGGCGACCTTCGGCGTTCTAATTTCAAAAGCTGTCGGTTGTTCGAAATTTGAAATTTGGCTGACCTCAATCAATCATTTTGCTATGTGGTATGCGCGGGTCTGTTATAATATGCACGCGCCATTTAAGCGTGTGCATATTATAACAGATAAATACTCACTTATTTAGCTAGCCGCGCCCCTCGACGTAGCCTGCGACATAACACCTTATAGAAATAAGGTGTTATGTAGCGTGTACTTGTCGTTTTTAAAACCAGCCAGAAAAGTATAAGATTCAGCTGCCCATTTCCCCCCTATGTGCGACTTTGGGTTCCACAACTCTCACTATGTCCCCTTCAAGCGTTCTGTTTTACTTGCAAAATCTTATTGTTAGTTCCATATTAAATTCATTGAGATAAGGCATTGTAGCTTATTTGTTTTAAAAAAAATTGAGAAGATATTTACAAGCCAAATAAATGCAATAGCTACCTATAATTCTAATAGTACATAGCTTAAAATTAAAAGTAGATTAATTTTTACATACTTTTACAAATAAGATTTTACTAGTTTTTAGTTAGTTAGTTTTACTAGTGCCGTAATCCAAGTCTAGATGGGCCATGGGGCAGACTAATGCGTTTCACTAATAGATTTTATCGTCAATGATCTTGATGACCCACCGTGCGTAAAAATTAAGCCGGTGAGCTCAATCCGTATGAGTAATGATGGGCTGTCAAAAATCAAAACAATACCCGCCCTTCCTGCGCCCAATTAATCTATACAAATCGATACACGTTATCTCGATTCAAAATGTCGATTGTAATCGATCAATAAATTTGTAATGCAATTTTTGTAGCAGTTCAATGCTATTTGTACGACGTGATAAGTTAAAAATATAACCCATACATGCGTCTTTGACATTCTATTGAATAACTGATATGTCAAGTACACACATATACAGATCACTAGATCTTAGTTCGATTCCCTTGTCGATTAATATATATCAATAAAAAGAGTAGCTAAAAAAACAATTTTAACGGTTTATAACGTGAAATATATTAGTTACTGTATTTACAATTTATTTAAACCACGTCCCGACGTTTTTAACGCTTTAGAACAAAGGACATCGTGAGTCAGTTTTGTAAGGACCCAAGCTACTTTCTTCAAATACTGGTAAATCTTAAGCTTAACCAAACAGTTAGTGTCAGTAGTTATTAAACAAGCTGAAGAGTTTGTCTGTTTGTTGGAACGCGCTTATCTCAGGAACTTCTGGTTGGAATTTTTTTTTGTTTTGGTTAGAGCATTTATCAAGGAAGGCTATAGAATGCCGCGCTGTTACTAATAGAAGCGAAAAACAGCGGGAAACGCGGAAAATTATTCATCTTGTGGGTTTCCGATCCCTGCGAAAACGGCCCAAGATTCACAAAAAGTTTCCAAAAGCATTATTCCTCTTTAAACGATTAAAAAAAAAATGTCTGTGACAGTATATGTCTATATTTTGGTGGTCGGACGTGGTCGGACAGTTATAACGAAAGGTTTTAAAAAAAAAAATTTGATGCCCAAAATAACAATTCTACGCGGACGAAGTCGCTCACACAGCTAGTAATATTATATTATAGGTTGAAATACATCGATAGGTAAGATTATAATGGGCTTGTTTTTATATCAATATTGCGTTTGCCTAATAAGACGAGTGACCCTACCCTTGAGGTCGAGTGAGCTTTGACATACAGACTTGTTTCTTTAAACTTGTAACGCTACTTTGGTATTGCAAGAGTGAAAAATAAATTCGTATTTTTTTACTAGATCGTCTGTATGTATACAAAAGTGGCTCGCTTAATATAAAGGTGACACAGATGTCTTAAAAAACCCTTTTAACTTACCGTACGAAGCAGCAGACATTACGTTGTAAAATATTATTTTTTACAGTCACTTAGATCTTATACGTAATAATACTGCCAAAGTAAAAACAAAGAGGGATTTTGAAAACTTTAATATTTACCTGGCACTCTATATATTAAAACTTAAAATTAGAAAGGTTTAGCACTCGGACAGGAATTGCGCGAAAAAATTTCGACCATGGCGTATAGACTAGACTCGGTAGCTCAATTAGTTAGAGCAGCAGCACGGAACGCTGTGGACGCCGGTTCAAGTCCTGCCCGAGTCGTAAATTTTTACTAAAGAATTAAGATAAGATATATACGAATGCAACAACACAGACGCTGTTTTCTTTATTATAGCTTTTTAAGTACAAAACTTAAATTCCAAAATATTGAAATTCCAACCAGTATGTTGCAAAGTTATCGTCCATAATTATAAATACAGTTTCGATTACATTAGGATGTAATTAGTGGACGCTGGCTTTAAAAGCTTTTACATTTCAAAGAGTACAGAGAGGGCGCCATAGTAAACATCATAGTTATAACATAGAACGTCCTACGAAAGAAAGTGTTCATAGGAGAAAACCAGGCAAGCTTAACGTACCCGTACTATCCAGCAGATGGCGGGAAGTTCGTTTCAAACTCGCGAGAAACATTTTCTCCATAACAAATATCAGATATTTACAGAGAGATAATTTAAAGCCGTTCCTAAGAAGCGTTTACAACACATTTAATATATGTGTTGCTAGAACCATGGAGAAATTTTTGAAAGCCGGCGGACGCTGGCGTCAAGATTTTGAACCAGAAGCATATCATTTTAAATATAATCTGTACTCATATATAAAGCTGAAGAGTTTGTTACTCTTCAGCTTTATATATCAGTATAGATAGTGATGATACAGTCATTCATTCGATAAGCGTTCTATCGTTTAAACATATTATACCCGGCACTACTTCTTACGCATAGGCGATAGTTTTAGGAACTTTGACCCACCACTCCACTGCTGGTTGGTGGGCTTCAATGACTCCTACCACTAAGACTGTGCTCATAACCAGCTTGTAATGCTCTTGTTGGATGTGCTATCCAACTCTTTAAAAATTTTAAGAGTAATCCATACTAATATATAAAGCTTAAGAGTTTGTTTGTTTGTTTTGTTTGTTTGACCGCGCTAATCTCAGACAGAACTACGGGTTTGAATTGAAAAATTATTTCTGTATTGGTTAGAGCATTTATCGAGGAAGGCTATAGGCTATAAAACATTGCCTTGTGACTGATAAGAGCGAAGATACAGCGAGAAATGTGAAAACAATTGGGAAAATTATCCATCGTTATGGGTATCCGAGGCGTACGCTACAATAACAGTTCATGATAGCCAAAAAAAAATGTATCAAACTGTGATTCCTCTTTAAATGATCTAAAAAAGTCCGTGACGCTATATGTCTATCTTATAAGATTAACTTGCAAGAACGACGGGAATGGACGCGGTCGACGTCGTAGGTAACAACTTAAGTTTATAAAACCCTTCGGGTTTACAAAAACGGATTAGGATGTCCAAAATAACGATTCTCGCGGACGAAGTCGCTGACACAGCTAGTAGATAATGATTAGGATAAAACTATTTCGCTTCATATTCGGTATCAAATTGTTAAGCAAGATATTTTATTTAAGTACTTCCGCTCACTGATAACAATCAATATCAACGTCAAACACACGACATTTCAAGAAATAGTTTATCACAATAGAGAACACAGGAAGAGAATCATATAAAGTTAAAAAGAGATGAAAAGAGAATTAAATAAGCACCAAAAGTAGTATCAGTTATAAATCTAACTGGAAAAAGACAAAAAACAAACAATTTTAATTATAGTCTTCTTTTTTATTTAAACATGAGACATCTGGGACCTCTTATAGAGTCTTACCTCTCCTATTTATTCTCCTCAGTGTTTCTACAAATATATGTGACAAAATCGGCTGTAGTTTGGTCCTCATTGTCGTGGTGGTTTTTCTGAAGTCTTCAGAGGCATTTAAATGAAACACTTTAACGGTTTAAAACGCGATATATTAGTTAAACTTATTTGAAAATGATTTTTAACTTCGGCCCGGTGTTTCAGATGCTGTGCAGCAGCCGTGGTCACGGAGAGACAGCCTCCAACGGTTAAAAATACGAAATATATGAATTTAACTTGTTTAAAAATGCCGCTGCAAAGCATCCGAAACGTCGGGCCGTAGATAAAATAATTTTCAAATAAGTTTAACTAATATATTTCCCGTTTTAAACCGTTAAAGTGTTTTATTTAAATGTGGTCTACTCGCGTAAATTACAGACAGTAGCTCTTTTATCAATTAAATATATATTTTTCTTTAAAAAATTATATACTTCTGCATTGGTAAGGTAATAACTAAAGTCTTTGTTTATTTGAGAAGCTGTTAACATTACGAGTCTTCTTCTGTCTTCTTATCTTCACTCATAACATCCCAGTAGGACGGTGGGGCGTCGGTGTCCTGTTCATTTTGTTTGCTAGAGCTTCCTGAATTCGGCTCATTAGATTTCAACATGATTTGCAATGGAATGGTCAGTTCAAAGTTAGTGTGGGGCATGGGCAGTTCAACGGCTATTGAAACCGAATAATTCCTCTCCGCTAGTTGACAAGAATCTATAGTCAGACAGTCATCGGGCACTTTAATATCGACGATCATTTGCTGGGTTTTTCCGTTAACGATTGATCCAGTTTTTGAGTCTGTGCCCTCTAGATCGTTGCAAAACGTGAAATGTTTTAAACGTTTTTTAGAATTGATCATCTCCACTATCTTAGTCTCGACAGATCTGATCGTAACGTGACTGTTGTTTGCCACTTCGTACTCGAATTGCACAGTGTCGCCGGCACACACCACTGAACTTAGGATCGTCGATTTGACGTTTATCACGGATTCTGTACTGGAAAACGGCTGGAACAATGTTTTCTTTTCGCCATATGTCATTGGGTCTCTGATTAAGGTCGGTATGATGTCGGACATGACTTGAATTTCCTTCTTAAATCGTTTAGTGGATGATAGGAAGTTCGATTTCTCGAATTTCATTGCTATATAATAACCGACCTTATATTTCATAGAATGCGAGAGCTGCTTCCGGAACACATCAACAGATGGCGGTGTACGTTGAGGGATTTGGAATTTAAATGGGGCTGTGTACGATCCGATATCCACCGTGGCGTTTCCAGTTGCACTATCTAGAATCACTTCTTCTATGTTACAGTACTTTGCTTTGTTAAATGAGACACCTTGGTTCTTTCCTCTAGTTCGCTTCTTTATGCGTAAGGTAGCAATACATTTTAGAGACATTGTTATTCTTTTAAATGCGGTTGTTTCGTCGACTGCATACTTTATTTCGCCTGCTACGATACTCCCCGATGTGTAAACGTTATTCGGTGGGCACTTAAGACAAATTTCACAATGTATGCCCATTACGAATAATAAAAACGTGTGAATAATAAAAATTTCGTGACTGATCTTCGTAAATCCGTAGATCAATCCTGAATCAATATATACTCGGCCACTTATCTATGGGAACTAATATTATCACTTGTGATAAGCGCGATTTGATTGTAATTTATAAAAAGGTATGATTCCACCGACGCAACGGTACTGTGTGGTGATTCACACGAGACTGGTGTAAAAATCTCATTTACTTAATTGCTTAACTTAATGTGAATAAATACTCGTCGCACGACTTTCCTTGTTATGTAACTGAACTAATATTAAAATTGCAGCAGTGCCTTTTTTATTACGTAGTGCATTTTGGCTTGCAAATCTACTTAAAAGTGGGTTAATGTAATATTATGGGGTATTGTTTTTGATAGACAAATAAATTGTTTATACAAAGACACATTTTTAAGATCGAGTCCTTTCGTGTGTATGATAGAACACTTAGTAAGTAGTGCACGTTATACTTAAATTGTAAGACATTTACAAAAAAATATCTACACTTCAGAATATTTACAATTTGGCATATAAAAACAACTTTATTTTACATAATCATCACTTTGCTTATATATAACGTTGCACCTACTTTAATTTTATCTGTAGAAATAGTAGATATTAGATTTGATAGTGACAGCTCACTGTCAAAGTTAATGACACCAGCATCTGTCAAAAGAAAATTGTCAAACGACGATTGTATTATAAAATATTATCGACAGTGGTCGATTGTCTCGAAAAATAAGAAATGATTTGCTCAAAATATACACAATTACTTTTAACTGTTTGAATCTAAAAAAATATGTCTAACAGGATTGTTTTTGTAGTTATCAATTCTTTATAAACACTAAATCATGAGTAACATTTACATACAAGAGCCACCTGCGCTTGGTAAGGTAATATTCTTCTTTTCGTATCTAATTAGAATACAGTATTTCTAATCGCTAAAAATTTGTACCTTACTGATATACATTTTTAAATAAGTAACTAAGAAATAAACTTTAAACTCCTTTCTATTGACATTTTATTACATATTTTACTACACCGATTTTGCAGCGTGACACAGTGCTTAAAACATTATTTTACTACTTATTACCTTTAGCTTTAATCACTCAACATTATCGTTACTCAATGGCTTTTCTTATAATAATTATGAATGACTAAATATAATCGTCTTTTAATACTGTTATAAATCATTGCTGTAAAATGTTCATGTCATATCCTATTTTAGGTGCTGTTAAAGACTACTGTAGGTGACATTGATATAGAATTATGGACAAAAGAGACACCAAAAGCATGTAAAAATTTTATACAGCTATGTATGGAAGGATATTATAATGGTAAGCCTATTTTCAAATGCTTAAAACCAAAATAAGTTGACAACATCTTGTTGCGATGGCTGGAGTCTTTCACTTTCTCTCCATGCATGTCTGCTATCCTCTTTCATTAAAGAAAAATAATAAACTGTAGTTCATTAGTTTTTGATATGGTCATTTAATTGCACAAATGTAGACTAAACAAACATTAAAAAAGACTTAGATGCTTGTCGCAAAACAATAGGCTGTGACATTTGTCAATAATATTCTGGAGTCTTGTCAAAGAGTTAATTGGTAGAACTACTAACACTATGTTCTCTTTGCAATTTTTTGCAAGAGTTAAAAGCAAGTATCATACAAAAGCTAAAGTATAATTAAACAAAAAAAGGTTTATCAACACTCAATTAATTTGGCATTTCAGGGACTATATTTCACCGAGTGGTACCAGAGTTCATAGTGCAAGGTGGAGATCCCAATGGAGATGGCAGTGGTGGAGAATCTATTTATGGAGAGCCATTTAAGGTTGGTCAACTTAATAAAGGTTGTTGGCACAATGTTCTTCTTTACAATAGAGGGAGTCTTGATAGCTCTTACAAAAGATAACAATTGGAAAATATATTACTGAGTAGGTTTTCAGCTCCCAAATCATAACTAGTCAAGTTTTCGATATATTAGTATATATTTCTCATTTCTATTTATATTTTATTTTTATCATAGATTAATAAATATTTAACAGACCTAAGGGGTCGGCGAATCTTATTTTTCTTATAAGGGGGAAGGGGTAAAAGTTGTGAAAATTGTCTTACGTAATATAATATGAATGGCCCCATGCATGCCAAAAGATGGTGAAATGCAACCTTATTAGGAGATCACATTTATGTAATATAATATAACATAACATAAATATTATTTAAAAATCGACAATAAATTGAAAAAAATTTTGACTCGGACTGGACTTGAACTGGCTTTTTTTTTTTTTTTTTCAATATTAAATCCATTTTTAATTGAAAAAATAAGCCTATCAGTACCTGTAACAATTTTCATGGACCTATGTTACAAGTACTAATTCTGTTTTAATTACTGTCAAATAGAGGGGATAACTAGTCATTTTGTTATTTCAGGATGAGTTCCACTCTCGTCTCCGGTTTAACAGACGCGGCTTGGTGGCCATGGCGAACGCTGGCAAGAATGACAACGGTTCACAATTCTTCTTCACTCTCGCCGCTACTCCAGAATTACAGAACAAACACACTATATTTGGAAAAGTCATTGGTAAGTCTACCAATCTAACAATTGTCACCGTCTACCATTACCACATATACAAACATGTACATTAACAAAGAAAGATGCTACTGTATTTATTGTTCTACATGCAAAAATATTTTTTTAACCCTAGATGAAACATACAAGCACTATCAATTTAAATGAGTAGAAATTCAAACAAATACTTAACTGTTAGAACACGGAATGTATTAGTTAACTTATTTTAAACACGATGTTCCGGTAGCTTTGCAGCAGCTGTAAGGATAAACACGAAGTTGTCTATTTCTAAAGTTCAGTAACTTTTCAGGTGGCTCAATATACAATGTACTAAAATTGACTGAGGGTCTAATAGGCCCAGATGAGCGACCGGAACACCCTCACAAAATAATCGGCGCCACTGTACTGATAAACCCTTTCACTGACATTGTACCGAGAGTTGTTGCGAAGCACGAAGAGGAAGACACTTCTAAGAAGAAGAAGAAAAAAGAGCGACAGGGGGTGAAGTTAGTTAGCTTCGAATTAGTATATAAAAGTGAAAGCCCATTTCACTGATCCGTTCTTTTAAGGGGCAAGTAGTTGATCAGACTTCTGTGCCCTGCCCGACCGAAACAACTTTGTTTCCTTGGGATTCGAACCCAGGACCTCTCGCGCTACAATGCTAGGCAATACAGCAAAAATAATTCTCAAATTAATAAATAATTTTTCAATTCTAAAACATTATTATCAATTCTTTATTGTCTTTTATTACCTATGCTTCTGAAGGCCCGCCATCAGTTCATGCCTTGCATCATTTGCCCGAGTGGTCCCTAGTCTTGATTATAACAAACATAGGAACTCATATTAATAAAATAACATGTTGTTTAAACTTTGTCAAGGAATTTCGGTCTTCTATCGTTTGGTGAAGAAGCTGAAGAAGACGAGGGCGAAGCGAAAGAGTACAGAGGCAAGCCCAAGTCTACACACGATCTCTTGTCAGACCCAAAGCTTATAAGCAAGACGGCTGCTGGTAGGTAGACAAAAAAATATTCAAGCAGTTTTAGATGAATAATTTATTTTTCTACATTATAAAAATTAAGTTATACATTTCAGAACTTGAATTGGAACAACAAAATGAGACTGAAGAACTCTCTAAACAAGAGAAGGAAAAGAAAAGGGAGGAAACTGAGTCAACAGTTTCTAATATAAGAGATAAATTGAGTAAGAGAGATAGGAGTCCGGAAGACAGAGAGAGTAAGAAGAAAAAAGGAGACGATATTAAGAGAGACAGCGATTCAGAGAAAAGAGATAGCGATAGTGACGGGGAGTATTATATCGGGAAGGAGAGGGATAAAGAACGAAAGAAAGAGAGGTTTGATAATATTTTTTTTATTTTTATTTAAATATTAGTGAAAATTAAAAAAAAATCTGTATTTATTTGGTTTTCATACAACATACGTTTTTTACATACTTATAAACAATAGAGAACATTAATTTTTACATATATGTCAATTACACACATTACAAATACTGTTAAGTAGCCACACAATTAAAACTATAATACTATTTAAATAAAACACTTTAACGGTTTAAAACGCGATATATTAGTTAAACTTATTTGAAACTGATTTTTAACTTCGGCCAGACGTTTCGGATGCTTTGCAGCGGCCGTGACCACGGCTAAAGTGTTTTATTTAAATGTGTACTACTCTCGTAAACACACTATAATACTAATCAGAACTAAAATAACAAACATAAAGATGTGAAATTTACAAACTAGAGACATAACATGAACTAAGACTTACCTAATGCCTGTCGCACTAGAACACGAAATCTGTACAGGCTGTTGTGAAATATCTATATATATGTCCTTTTTACATATTGTATTGTATGATCGAACCGTTCTATTAATCGGGGAATTGGCAGAAGTCGCAAGACGGGGCGTTGGAGAGTAAAAGAGGTGACATCTGTTATAGATATACGTATATAAAATAATACACACCAAATGTTCCAGAGACCGGATTCGCAACGAGATAAGACAGCTCAAAAAAGAGATGCGCGCACCGAAAGAAGAAGATAAGCCGGAGGTAAAAGAAAAGGAGAGTAAGGATAAGGCAATCGAGGATAACGAGATGTACCAACAGTTTGTAGAGGAACAGGAGAAGTATAAGAAAATGAAGGAGGCTATACCTAAGAAGGGGGCTGCTAGGTGAGAATTTACTTTAACTAAATAATGTCTGTTGTTTACGCGAGTAGCACACTTTAAAATAAACCACTTTAACGGGTTAAAACTGGATACATATTAGTTAAAAAATTTTAAACATAATTTTTAACTAATACCAAATTCGACGAACACATGGCAATTTTTACTTTGACGTCAGACAACCTTCATCGTTAGTCTCCCTGTGACCACGGCTCCTGCAAAGCCGCCGAAACGTTTGATCGTAGTTAAAATAATTGTTGTGTCACTAAAAGTGTTACTAATAGATACGTTTTAAACCGTTAGTCTTTTCAATTTATTTAATAGCTAAAATAAAAACACCTTTAACGGTTCAAAACGCGGAAATTTATAAATAACCCTATTTTTAAGTTCTCTAAACTACGGCTAGACTTTTCGGATGCTTTGAATCAGCCGTGGTCACGAGTGGATAATTATATAATACTATTCGTTCCTCCCTTAAACATTTTGTATATTTGAGTATTTCGTCACGTCTCATGTTGTTCACGGCTCTCGTTTTACGTGCGTGGAGTGAAGTACAAATAAACGGACCTCAAATCTCGACTAAGAAGAGAATACGTCTTTTCAGAAGCAGACGTTCAAAATTAACCCGAAAACCGTTGAAAAAGAGAGCTTGGGTGAAGAATTTGTACGAAAATCGAGATTACCCAGACAATTATACGGACTCGAAGTTCCTAGAGCATTTAAAAACGAACTTGTTTGTTGAAAAAGTGACTCTATTGCAAGCCGTACAAGGCTCACTTCGCGTTGTACTACGCCTGTGTTTGTGTGCGTTATACGCTGTGCTCTACACCTACATGTACAACCAATGGATTCACACACACACGGTCATATATCTATCAATAGCTACAATGTGTGCGTGCTACTGTTTGTATGTGTGCGTGGAACGGGAGATCTTAGTGCATTTTAAAGTCGTGCTAGTGTATTTAGTTATTGGCTATATACTATCGCCCATACTCCACACGTTGACAGATACGGTCAGCACAGACACCATTTACGCTTGGGCGGTAATAATGATGCTTATACATTTAATGTTCTTCGACTATGATGTGCCAGCGGCCTTTGTTTCCAAGTCGTTGTCGATAAACGCGGCGATCTTCGCATCCGTCTGCCTCGTGTCGAGATTGAACACGCCGTTCGACGCGTTTGTTTTGCTGACCATATCTGTTAAGTTCTTCGTTTTGAGTCCGCGGTTCTTCAAAGTCTATTTACACACGGAGTTGTTTTTATTTTTGTTTTTTATTGTTTTAACTCTTACTATAGTGTCGTTGTATAGCGTTTCGTGTATTTGTTTGTTTTATTTTTTATTTTTCGTGTTGGTTTTGAGCGGGTTCTGTCCGTTAATGTTTGTGAGGTGGCAGAAGTATAAGGACAATAAGTACGGGCCATGGGACGAAGCTATATTGAATAGTTCTGAAGAAATAGACGATAATATATGATTGTATGTTAGGGGCAGAATGTTCTTGTGTTGAATTTAGCCGAAACATTTTTTTTTAACAGGGAAGGCATATTTTTCCTACGAATGGGGTACAACTTTACAATACTGCATTTAAAATAATCTCTGTATTAAATAACTAAACGTATTCCTTATAGTATAAAAAAGTCAACTACCTCACAGATGTATGACTAGCGCTGGAAAGTTTCTGAAGCGATAAAAAATAAAATATTTTCAATACAATCACAAATGTATGGGTACATAGGTATAGTACATATGTATTATTATTTGAGGTTTTAATATTTTTTACAGTACAATTCGCATTTTTATTTTTTACATAAAACATTTTAGACGGTTGAAACACGAAATATATTAGTTCACTTATTTATCATTTATTACAACTTCGGCCCGATGTTTCGAATGCTTTGCAGCAATCGTGGTCACGGTGGGAATACAACCACTTGGACAACGGCTGCTGTTTAAGCCAAATTATTATGTGTTTTTAACTGTTAATAGTGTTATATTTAAATGTGTACTACTGGTGTAAAGTCCAAAATACTTTTCCTAATTTACTAGAAATTAGTCGCAAGGTTCAAGTACTTCACATCACGACTTTAGCACCACCTCGGTTTTATTTATAAGTAAAGACTGCGCGTGCGACGCTAACCACTCATTCAGTGGCGGTAGTAACTCGCAATGAAGCAACGTGGGGCTTTAAGTAAACGCTTTCTTCTGCGGCAGAGAAGAACCATGTGCAGAGGAATAAAATATTGTTATATTATGACTTAATTATGTACGAATAATACTCATGACGCGAACAAGTCTCGAATCACAAGTGTTTTAACCTTATCACAAATGATTTAAGGAAATGAATGCATCCAATTATCGCGCTTTAATTATGAACAAATTGACAATTTTCTCGTTTTTATTTATTAATGCTGTATTTATTTTAACTATGTGAATAAAAGGGAAATAAAGTTATTTTACTAATGTTGTTCGCTTTACTGGTTTTTTTAGACGACTGATATCCCAGCCATATAACACTTAAACAAGATGCGCTGTCGGCCTATTTTTGCTTGGAAAATTCAGAACCGAAACGTGATTTAATTTTTTTTAAGACAGCTTTGTCATCTGGACGGTGGTTCGTGAACGGGACGAAATTTCAATATTCCTTCCACCCATTTGATATCCAGATTTCCAAACATTAGACCCGGTGGAATCAACGACCCGTTGATTATTATGGTAGCAATGTATGGCACATTGCTACCATTAGACCAGCGAGTCTGTCAATAATTATATAATGCGATTTAACAAGATTCAAGACAAACCATGTCTAAAGTTACCACCTACTGTTTGAGCATTTTCCAAAAATTTGTACAACAAATATAAAATAAAATGTCCAAGCGTGAGTTGGTCTCTCCTCTCTGATTTTTATTCTACTCTTTGTGAACGAAACGGGTTCCGTACACAAATAGCGTTAATTATTTCATCTTTTTACAATCCTTATTTACGTAGAAATGCCTCGTTTATTGATTTTTTAAATTTATCATGTATTTTGATATTACAGAGAAGATTTCACGCTGAAACTTCTGGCCAAGTTCAAAGACAAATTGCACGCGATCAAGGAAAAAGGCCCGGCCGACAGCCAAGTTATCTCCAATGAAAACGATGAGGATATTAATACGGGCGAATGGTATGTTCACGAAATTAAAGTCCCGTTTCCCCCTGCGGGGCATTAGGCATAGAGAGGCACTAATCTATATGAGGCTGACGGAGGAAAATGTATTTGTAGCTCCTTCTATTGTGTGTGTAAAAATTGTGTTACAATTTACGGTCACTGCGCTCTTGTTGATTAACGCTTTTAGACTGTGAACATTTAAATAATTCAAGTCATAAAATTGCGGTTAGCCTACTCTGCCTCTAGCGGCCTCACATATTTTGCAAATAGTATTTAATTATTATTTATTTATTTCATTGTAAACATATTCTACCATTACAGAACAATTTCCATTGCGATAGACTTATTATATACATATTTCCTAGAGTGATGTTTTTGTCACCCAAGCTGCACGTAAAAATGTTCATCCCTCCTGCAGTTTGTTGATAACACGCATAGCACGAACAAGAGGGGATTTCATCAGCAAGTTGGTGCTTGAGTACGGTAGCGCAAGTAACGGTGGTCGTAATCGCCTCCACACGTATCGATCCGGAACAGACAAGCGTAAGGACTGTAGAACTCCTGGGTTCAACTCTCGACCCCGCAATACCCCCACAATATGTTGCTGTGCCCCGCCCGACTAGATTCTAACTCAGGACCTCTTGTGCTCAATACATCTAAGCATCGTTTAACCATTCAACTATGGAAATTATAGAATTTTATTAACAGGCCAGTGTTTAATTTCAGGATGGGTCACACTTTACGCTTTGAAGAAAAAGGCGCTGTGTTAGCGAAGGATGCGTCGTCTAAAGGGGACGACTGGTTCGACATATACGACCCAAGAAACCCAATCAACAAGAGAAAGAGAGAGAAGTCAGATAAAAAGGCTAAGAAATAAATGTTATGCTAAAACAATCAGTATATTTAGTTTCTTTCCAATACTACAAACAAAAGGCTTAGTCGTCCCATTCTTATGTAAATGTATAACTTAAAGAAATTTTAATCTTTGCATTTTAGTATATTAGGTGTTAGTTTTTCATTAATTTTAGCACAAAATTGTGGGTTTTACTTAGTGCATTTGACTACCTCAAATCTTATTTAGTTTAGTATATAATCCAGTATCTCAATGTTTTTAGTGTAAATCAAAGTAAACCTTGTAAGAAAATCACGTTTTCAGGTAAATTGTGCGTTTGTTTACGAAAAAAGCCAAGTTGGAACAAATAAACTAAACGAAAGAACCTTAAAAAAGAGATCATCATTCGCTAATGGCGACGCCTGTCAAAATAGAATACAAATAACAATAAAACAAAATAATTATAAATATAATAATATTTATTCATCTCCATACAAATCAACAAGATTGGTTCATCAATAAATCACTCCATATGTACATGTACTTCGAGATCTGTACATTTAGAACATAATATTTACACTAACTCTTAGGGCTAGCTTGAGCCGCTAAAACGCGGCCCAATGAGATTGAAACCGATCCGACCGCGGTATTCGAGTCACTTACCCTGTATCATTCGGATCAATTTCTATGTACAGGGTGTTGCGGAGAAATGTCCAAGTATCGATAGCTTATATTTGAAGACAACTTTTCCAATCCTTTTTCGTCTCTTAGCTAGTATAATTTACTCCTTTTTTTATTTAGTACCACAATGACGTTAACTACCTAATACTACTAATTTACATTTCTCCGTAACACTCCGCACAAGACACGAGAAGAGTTCCTCAAGCGATAATGTACTGTTATCGTTCAAAAAATTACTTTACGTCAAAAACATCGAGAAAGTCTCCTCATGTATAACGCTCCGCCAAGTGAAATCAAGATGCTATGTTAACTAACATATATAAGACTGATATTATAATAAATAATTTAGTTGAGTTTGGCATTTATACATAGATACAGTGCAACGCATAAGTAGGTAAAGTCAATATCTTATTACAACACTGCAAAATTTCATCATCAATGTCAAATGAATTTCATAGCTCAAAACAGCGTTGGAATGTAGCGTCGATCATATTTAATGAAAGATTACTAAATTAATCAAATCAAATCATTTATTCATATCATTAACCGAATTAGACGGAGCGTGCTATAGAACTATAACCTGTGGGTTCAGCGTGAGCTTTTAATGTTTTTTTTTTTCAATCTTTTGTAGAATACTGATATTTCAATTGGAAAAAAAAAGTAATTTATATAAAGTGAAATAATTTATTGCTTTCTTAACATATAACAATAAAAAGACCTCTAAATTTAATTTGGAAATATCAAATCCACATTAAAAACTCACACTTAGCAGTAATTAGGGGCGCAGTCGCCATTCGAGTAAACAATACTCAGGCTATTCAGTGATCACTGCACAGGAATCGAACCCAACGGTTCAGCTATGTCAATGAGTAAAATATTTACAGATCAAAATTCTATTAAAAAGGTTTTGAGTGTTTCTATGTGCAATGGCGGACGCCTTGTGTACACGCAATTACTGCTTCATGTAGCAGTGACCATTCTGTGGTTCATCCCGCTTTCGCTTAAGAGGGGAGGGTAGGCCACGTTCATAAACCCATGTTTCATGTTTTTCCAAGCTGCCTAACTTAGAATGCATTGTTCTGAAGCCACGTTTACTTGCTGTCGTATTTCCGCTTCCGACCTCCCGTTTTGATTTTTGCAGATCTCAATTCATGGCGGGTTTAAGTAGGTCTTTGTGTGGAGGCTAACCAAGCTCTGAATCTCTCTTTTCTCGCCTTCGAGAGGCGTTCGTGTGACGCTTTTGCGCTGGATAGACAGCCAGCGCGGTAAAGTTGGTGCGGGCGACAGGCGACGAACCTGTACCAAACGCAGTTTATTAGTAAATAGAGCGATAGCATCGAAACTTACGAATATGATCCATTCGTGCATAATTAACAACTAGACATGTATAGACTCTTAAGTAGTAACTATTGAACAATTATTGTTCTTTATTTGAAATTAGAGAAAAAAACAAATTGGTATATCAGTTTCATAAGCAAGACAAGACAAGTCGGAAAGACGCACCGTATAGGATTGGATATGGTGCACTCCGAGTGGTCGTGCAGCCGTAAGGGTTTCCGTCGCCTGACGGTGGGCGGCGGGTGCCTCATGCCCGTCGTCGACGTGGTGATCACTTCTCCGCCGCCATTTTTCCTTGCGTTGCGCCGAAGGAACACCGGCTTGTGGTAACGAGCTGTGGTGTCCGGTCGCGTATATCGCTCCGCGTAGCGGGACCAAGCCGCCGTCGCTGTCACTGCACTAGTGCCGTTTTCGCGACCGCACTATAATAGAGAATATTAAGGAAGTTACAACCAGTGTAAAAACTGTTTGACTGACCATAGAAAAGTCGTAAATAGACAACGACTATCAGTAATTTGATTTGTTTTAAGAAAATCTGTCCGTCAAATTTTGTTGTTGTCAACTACCGACGTAGTTACAACGAATAGTTTAATATTTACCGGATTTGTGGGTGAAAGCCTGGAGCCATCGTTGTTGAGCTGTGGCGAAGTCCGACCTTCACCAGCTGGCTCGAGCAGCTCAAACGTAACTTTGCATTCATCACCACCATACTGAAAAGAATTCATAAATATAAAACTTGTGTATTTAATTCTATTACAGAGGATACAAAAAATGTATAATAATTTATAATTCTTACCACTTTTACAAGGAAAGTCGTGTGTTCGGCGCGCAGATACTTCGCAGCCTTGTACACGTACGAGAGTGGTCCCCGCATTCCTCCACGCGCGGCCATCTCCGCCGCACGAACCGACCAACTCTCGGACACGCAGTGCTGAAGCTGCAAATACACAACTCAGTTGAAAACAGATCGACTTTCTTAAGTATATTTGATTATGTATAAGGTTTGGAGTATTTTCACAGAAATACTAAATAGGAGTGACGCAACGCTATCATTACAGTGAAACCTGGTTAGGTGGGACCTGGAAAACTGGATTAATGGAACAGGTCCTTTGAAATCCCAATTAACCAGATTGCAATGTATATCAACCTAAAAGACATCAGAAGGAAGGCAGCATGCGACTATCAACACAGTTAATCTGTAGCACACATCGCATTCTTATCATCATTGTCTAGTGTTTATAAGAGAATTTAACATAGAATTACACTCAAAATTACAATAGGCCACAAGAAATATGGTCGATTTCAAACCATAGAGAACTGTGTGATGACCTTTATATATATTAATAGAATGAAGTTGTTGCCACAGGTGACACATGGATAGAGACAGAAAAAGTTGATAATATATGGACCAAACGACCAAATATTCAAAATAACTTTTATGATGACCCCTTTATTAATTTTTTACGTCATTATTATTTAATTAGACGTTAATAATGCGTGTTTTCTTTACTAAAAACGTTAAGTTAAAAAAATACACTGTAAAGTATAGTGAAATAAATTCTTTAGTATCCCAACACTAACCTGTCTGACGGCCGTTGACACAACCTTATCCAGCGTATACGCCGGATACGCCTTGATTCCGAACATCTCCCTCGCCGCGTCCTCGTAGGTGGACGGTTCTGTGTTGCCATCTAGCACGCCTTTTATCAATTCCAGCAATGTGTTGTAGTACTCCGCCGGCGATGACACTTCGGATGGTAAGTCTGTGAACGATGGAAAGTGTTACTAGATGTTTGTAGTAAAAGTGGCCATTATTGGAGTAGATGTTTTAAGTAAAGACGTCAGAAGGAAGGCAGCATGCGAGTATCAACACTAACAATCTGTAAAGCACATCGCATTTCTATCATCATTGTCTCACTACAACCAAATGATATGAGAGTCCTATATCCTTATAATAAGAAGAAAATGATTAATTTACTTGGTTCAGTGTTTCGAAATTATGGATTTTTTGTGTTCTTTACTAAAAAACTTTTTGGCTTGTATTTCTATAACACGTAGGTGCTTATATCCATTTTTTTGTTTAATGCAACCACAGTAATGTATAATAAATTTTTTTTGGTTATCGGTATATTGATTTTCTACCGACACATAGTTAAGTGTGCATAGTTATTATTTTGTATATTTTTAGTATATTATATGAAATTGCATTGCTTTTATTACTTCAATAACGCATGTTTTATATAGCTATTATGTAATAGTAGTAAGTTGAATATTGTAGGTGAATACTGTAATAAAGAATAAATTATAGATGAAATATATTTTGTTTAAAAAAAATTGGGAGGTTTTTTTACGCTTTTAATATGTTCAAATATAATTCATAAAAAAACTAATACATACTGTGCGGTTTTAAACGAAGCGCCGCTGCTACGCTGGGCGGTCGCGTCGTCGCTCCAGCCGCTTCCGCGTCCGCCAACGCTAACGCAGCCCGCCTCGCGCCAGCTAAGCGCGAGCAGAGTATTGCGTGCAGCCGAAGGAATAGGTACCACGATGAGGTACAGACGAACCGACCCTCCTACGAAGACAAAATTAGTTATCATGAAGCAACCTTCATTTTAAGGTAACCGAAGATTGTTAAATTGGTGGTGGGAATATAGAAATGCCGTCCGGGCCACGAACACCGTCTACAGATGAAAAAACCGTGAAGCTTAATCACGTTTCAGTTTCAGTCTGTGGATTTCCAAATAGATCGACAGCGCATCTTTTTCAGATGCAGAAGGTAGGGTTATAATACCTACCATCAAGAGACCGCATGCCACGTCTGTCCTCCTCTATCACAAAAAAAAAAGATCTTGACAATACGAACATACTAAATATACACTTACATTTGGCGGATGATCTCTATAGTCGTTATCAATGTCCATATCGTTCTTAACCTCAGACTTAACACTATCTTCGTTGCTGCTACTCCGCTTTATACTTTGACAATCTAAAACAAATTATTAGTTATCAAAAACAATCATTACAAGCGTATAGTTTTTGGAAATGTAGGTTTAACGCAGAAATGATTGTTTACCTTTCGTCTCAGTATTATTGTTGTTCTTGGGTTTGTTCTCCTTGTCGATCTTGTTGTTTCTCGTGCTCTTATCTGATGCATTGTCAGACTCTGATGACTGCAAGGAAACAAGGGTTTAAAGTCAAGTGAAATGATTTAAAGCTATTTATTAATTAATTAAAATACAGTACAAGCTTTTTACTCTAAAAGTATACACACCTCTTGTTTCTCCTGTTTGACACCTTTGTCGTCATTCTGTCCAGCGTTGGGACTGCCAGGGCTCCTGACTTCTTCTTTTTCTTCTAAACAAAATGATTGATTAACATATTGGTTATTTAATAAGGGCATAATTCAATTCAAGTACGGACATCAGAAGGAAGGCAGCATGCGTGTATCAACAATGAAATTCTGTAAAGCACATCGCACGTTTTTCATCATTTAATATAATGGAGATAGTTTTTATGTTGTAAATAATTTAGCGATGTTATATTTACGGAATTAAAACAACATTTACTATAATTGTTAGACAACTAAATAATTTAAAAAATAATAACAAAATGTGGTTAACTTATTTTTAACTATGTATTATACTGTACGCGTAAAATATTAACAAATTTTTGATAGTGGCGTCTATCTTGTAAGGGAGGTACTTTTAAATGGTTCATCGTTTATGAAGAAACTGTACTAACAACTGCAGTATATAACAGCACAAGTGTTACAACCATCACGCAAGTGTTAATGCTGAAGTTACTGTAATACAAACTCACCATCATCTCTCTCATCATCAGATAATGGCTGCCGTGGATGTGAAAAGAGATCGGGCAGGAATTGCCGTAACAGTTGCTTGATTCGACGCTTCTCCGCTTTTTGTATCGCTGTTTGACGCCTGGCGTGGTGGATTAAGAGCTCTGCGGCGTCACGGACTATTTTTATCGCTGTGGATAAAGTGTGGCGAGTTAGTACTAACAATTTATTAAGAAATATTTAATCCAGTTATATATAATTAATATAAAAGTATATAATATCGAACTGATTTTTTTTTCTTACAAAAAAAGGGCATTCTCATTTATTCGTTTTAGACAAAAAACAAAGATTTTTGACGGCCTACGAATATTCATTTGCGTCTCCACGGACTATCGTTCACACTTGTAAAAGGCAGCAGTGTTTCGGTGTCAGTCTGTGGACTTCCTAACAGCAGTACATCTTTGCTTATATTTTATCCTTGTATGTCACTCATAAAATAAGTTAATATAAACTACCTTCTTGCCGACTGGTCATATTGTAATCGGCGATATAATGCGGACCGGGCCTTCTGGCTGCGTACACGCTTTCCACTTCATTGAATAGTGATTTTGACCTCATCGCCTTCAGATCGTTCTGTTTAAAGTTGATCCCTTGGTGATCCAACGATTTTAGATAATATTTCTCGTTCTGTTCTCGCCATTGTTTGTTGAATCCCTATAAGAATTGTTAACTTAGTAAATGTAATTTCATAGTCATTTGTAACTTATGTGGAACTTCCATTCCATTCATTAGTTCAATTAATACGTACCATACATATGTTAATGTTAGAATAACTAAGTCTTTACTTGATATTAATATTCCAATTTAATTTATAAAACACTCACCTTCTGAGCCTCCCGCCATTCTTCCTCCTTGGCTTTGAGACGCCTCAACACAACTGGGACAGCCACAAATGGATTTTTCTTGAGACCAGCTATGATGTCCACAGCCTAAAAAATTTACTTGTTATTTTATAGTTTTTCAAAAAGTTACAGATTTTATAAGAAATGTCAAAATGCATTATGGTCATGCGTACAATACTAGTCCATAAATATAAATAAAAATATGTATATTGTATTTTTGCTACAATAAAATTAAAGGTTTTTAAATAAGCTATATAAGTAATAAGATAAAAACTGAAATGGGCTCGAACCCAAATCAAAAAATAGATGCGTGCACTAATGTAATAAATGTAGAAATATAAATAATAATAATTACAGTGTGCTTTTTTCAACTAGACCGATAGCAAAAGCATTAAGATTGTCCTGAACAGAATAATGTTGGCAGTAGATAATATATGGGGTCAATACGTATGCTGCTACCTTCTACTATTAAAAGAGATCTAAGCATGCTGTCGAAAATCCTACGAGGAATTTTCGAGCAATCTAACTACTGTGGGGGAGATAAAAAGGCCCCCAAAAGCATGCCAACAGTCCGGGGGGTTCGTACCACCTTATCACCGTATATCCTCTTGAGCGCCCTCTGGTGGATGGTAGGGGAGTGACCGCCTAAACAGTCGTCCAGGCGGTATTTGGCGACTTCCTCAGACGTCATGCGCGATAGCTTTTTCTGAACGCCCTCTAAGACGCGTATGGTGGCCGCGTTCGTTTCTATTACGACGTCAAGCTGTAATGAACCTTTGTATTAGCACAAAAAGTACTTGATACCGTGAATTAAATTACAAACAAAGTGATGTTTTCCTTGATATGAGGTTAAGTTTGCTATAATTTCTTTTACATTTTATTACCCCATACCGCTGCAACTTTAACCAAATCTTTTGTAATTTATTTCCATTATTAACTAATAGCAAAGTGGTCCTTCGAGTCGGATCGGAATATTTAATATTAATTATTCCTAGTCCTTAATTTTTTCTCCAACTCACCTCAAATCTTTCATCTTCGCACCGGTATATGTACTCTTCATATTGTGTTTTACGTGACGTCACGAATGTCGAGTCTTCACTCCAAGTCGGGATTGACACCCACGTATCATTTAGTACCTGATAATATAATTGAAATATAGTTAAATCAATGTTATCTGAATTTATAAAAGATATATATTACTCGTGAAGTTACTATTTACCTCCTTGCATAGCGGAGTTCTTCCGGAGCATCTCCTTGCAGCAGCCTCCTTAGGCAGCGCGCAGTACGACGTCCCTAGACGTTTGCACGTTGATAGATCTATAAAAACGATTAATATTTAATCCCTCACTGTTCCTCGGATAAGGGACAAACAATATTAACTGAATTTGTTTATAACGATACGTATTATTTATAAAAAAAGTAATTCTCTTTATTCTACCAGATTCCATGATATATATTCACTCTGTTGATATTTACCTAGCTCCATATTAGTGTCAGTCTGTGGCCTGTCATGACGTAGCGGCGTTGAAAGCGGCAACGTTGAATGAATGGGCACGAGCGGTTCCACCCTCGACTTGGTATCGGATCCCAGGCGAGACCTCTCGTATCCTAGCAACGTGGAGGTAACGCCTGTATTGTTATAAACTGTGGAAAATTGCTTAATGTTGAAAATTGTTTTAAACTGACATAACGTTTTTTCAGTACTCCCCAATTGTCATAACTGTTACATACAAGCAATTTTATGCAATACACTCCATTTCAAAGTGATAAAAACTAACCTGAATGTGGTGCAGTAGGCGTATGCGGCGGTGAAATAGGTCCTAAGAAGTCCTGTAACCACTTCTGCAAGTCCGGGTGTCGGCACAGGAACGGTTGGACAACGCATAGCAGTTCTGACGACGATATTATCTCGTTCGTGAATAGAAGAAGACATCTATGATAAAATAGAAAAGCTAAATTTAGTGCTGTACAGTCGAATAAATGACTAGTAATAATTCGACTAATAAAAGCAGCGTCAGCTTTCTTTTAACTAGTTCAATTCCCACAGCTAGGCACCCGTCTCCTATCGCCTATTTAAAGAACTTGGACTCTTGGTCCTAAGCATGTTTTTTTCAATAACTTCCTTATACAAAAGTAGCTCTTTGTCCAATCCAGGATTTGAACCTGGGATCTCTGCGGTCGAGTACAATACGTAATAAAACGACGAGGCAGTTCGTTAAATTTAAACAGTTTAATATCCTGGAACAAATTGGATTGACTTACCTCAAAAAGTTTTCATAAACATGTTGCGATCTAAGTGCTTTTCTTGCGCGATCGAAGAAGTTGTACTCGTGCGCAGTGGCCAGTTTCGCCGCCTCGGCGTAAGAGACGTCACGGAGGCTTGTTGGCGGAGTGCTGGGCGGTACGGAGCCAGAGCCCGAGGAGCGGGGTTTTTTGGGTGGGGGAGCGCCAGATGCTAAAGTAAAAAGTGTCAAATAAAAACTGAAAAAGTTTACGATAAATTTTCGCAGTTTTGTATGTTTTGGTTGTGGCTATATTTAAAACAAAAGTATATAAATGCATTTGTTTAATTTGATTCTTCAAATGGGCTTCGCGAGAAAACTTACCAAGCGGTGTTGAAGATGAAAAACTTGGCGATCTCTTGAGATGATGATGCTGCGGCGGCGGGGCGCTCACGTTACTTGTGCTCGTGTGTTTCGGCACCTTGTAATAATCGTATATGTATTTTATTTATTATGTTTGAAGGATTAAAATATTTGCATTGAACTCTTATGTTTGCAAAAATACTTATAAACTTAATTGTGTTATTTGAAATAATAAGGTAGTCACAAGAACTAGGTATTATTAGTATTCTAACAAGCATAAAGTCGTTGAATTACCTGTTGATGATGTATTGTATGCTGTGGCAGCGGAGGCGAGACGGCCGCTGCTGCTGTGAATCTTTCAGGTTCGGGCTCCACTCGGGACTATACACGAAAAGTATTCATTATAGTATAAACAGACAAACAAAAAAAAATTATACTAGATACTTTTCTTCACACAATGTAAAGCTGTGAACATTTACAATTGAGCTAGAAATGTAAATAAATTGTTTGAGATATATTAGCGACATTTTATATTTACATTAATAACTTACCGGTGGTGGTGGCGATCTGGCGTGTGGAGGACAATGTGGCGGCTTGGTGACCGCCTTAGCATCAGGCAAGAACTGGCCAAATTCGGCCAGCAAGTCCTCTTGGTTTTCAAACAGTTTAGCAACCTACACCAAAATTTAATACATATCATGGTTTTTTCATGTGTGAACAGTTCGTGACCCGGACGGAATTTCGATGTATTAGATACATAGAAATTCCGTAAAATAAATCCAAATTAAAAATCGATTAGAACAATGTTACACCCGTTGTGGATCGAACCCATATTAGCCATACTTTGCTACCAACAAGTTCTTTAAAACATCTTCCAATTTAGTTACAATGAATTACTGCGTGTGTGTGCGTGTAAACCATATTAAAAGACTTGTCGCCTTTTGTAATATGTACCTGCGAATAAACCTCCTGTTCCGTCTGTTGCTTGGCCTGCGGCTCCTTGACGTCGCGGTGACCGCGCTGGTACGCGTGAAGGATCTCCAAAAATCGTTTGTACTTATCCGGTTGTCGGGAGAAACGAGACTGTGGAAGAATGCTACATTGACTTTTTTCAAGAGAGAACAAAGACAGGGCATATAAAGACAATACAATGTTTTATGTCTCTTTCATGGCTCGACGTCGTTGCCTGTTTAAACCCGTAATTACTTTTCCCGGGAATACACCCAGCGACCCTGATACTTAAATAGTTACCCAGTTTAAAGCCACAGTAGATATTCCATTTTTGAATTGATAAATATGTGGGTTTTGACATATTTATTTAATATTTAGGATGTTTAAAGCACTATAATATAGAAAGTATATTCACTGACATAAAAGAAACTTTTTCTAATGGTATTAATTAATGCTAGTTGTACTAACTAAAATGATTTTTTTTCTATTTTTTTAAATGTTTATTTCCTAAAATAAATATAACCAATTTTTTGCTAGTTACCTTGATCTTGTTAACATATTCGATGGCATGGTTGAACTCCACCGGCTGTCCAGCTGCAGTTGAATGGCTGCCACTCGTGTTTGTCGGTCCACCTTTTAACACATTTTGTAATAAGTAACATATAAGAACGAAACAGTGTCACAATTTTTAGTGAACTTCTACCTAGTACAGACAATAAATTTATTTAATAATAAAGTATTACACTTGACTTTAGACAAGAAGGGAATCCCCAATTCCTTAACTGTATTCAGAAGCGATAATTTTGTGACGTCATTATATACATTGCACACTACATTCTTTGACGCCTTGCGAGGCATGTGAAATTTATCATAGTGGTAGTTAAACTACCCATTAGCCGTAAATCGGAGATACTATATTTAATTTTTTTAATCTTACACTTACCACTCGTATGGTGTATAGCTGCTGCTTCAATTTGCTGATGAGCTTGGGAGATATGATGTAGTGTATTTGCAGCGCTTGGGGCTACAGACAGATTGTGCACCACTTGGCTGACCGACCTGTATATATTTATTGAATTAGTATACACAATATTTGAGCCTAATATAGCTAGATTTTTGGAATATAATCAGAACTCAAAAAGAGCAGCCGCAAGTTTTTATCATTACTTTCAACCGGTAATTAATTTCATCATTTGAATTTATTTTAGGAAGTAGGTCTTTTAGGTCACTTTTTTAAATAATAATAGTTAAAACTTACTGTTGAACCGGCAATAAATGGACCAGCTGCGGTTGCGCCGGCGCATGATGAACTCCCAGCAATACAGAGCCGGACCCGGCCACGGGACCATGGGGCGTGTGTGGCCCGGAGGGGACATTTGTCACGTTCCCCACGGGGCCAACCGGGACGACCCCGACTCCTAATCCAGTGGGAGACGGCATTGATACCGATACCTGTTAATTTTATCGATATTAAATAATAATATCACACAACAATAAATCATATTTTTTCTTTGAGGTTAGAGGTTATTTTAGTTATTATAATGTTGTTTTGTTTATACAATGTTGTATTATTATAATATTATTTTATTAACCGTTCGAAAGTGACCAAATAAAGTACTCGATAGTAATTATCATCTACGTACATCGTGATAAGATATTCCGATATCGTAATAATATAAATACGACAATTCAATGTTTACAGAGATAAACAAAATATACGGACGTCATAAATTTAAGTTTTTTGTTTATTAGCACATGTTTTAATTTTATTAATAGAAGTTACTTTTTTGCCTTGTGTTATGTTTATACATAATAACTTTTAGCTCGTATTATTCTATTTTTTTATACATTAAAAGAGAAGTATTTTACCTGTCCATTACTCTGCACCTCGATCTTATAGCCTGGTGGCAGAAAAGTGTTGAAGCCGACAATCAGCTCCGGGTGGCCTTTGAACAGGTTCGATACCCGGGTGATAACGCCCGGCGTGTCGATACTGTAATTAGAACTATTTTACATATTTTGATTTAATCTCGCAGTCAGAGTGTACAAAATTACATAAAACTAACACACAAATTTAAAAAAAACTAAACAAATATGGGAAATTCACATAATCAATTAAGTTAAATAATTAAGGGGAGAAAGTAGCTGCCCCCTTCCCTTGACTGACTCTTTGATCTATAAAAGTTTTGTTATATGAAATTTTTAATAATGAACATAAGAAATACTCACGTCTGACTCTTGAATTCCTTCATGATATCCAGAAAGTCGTTGTACACCTGCGGCTGAGTGTTGAACTTGTACTTGACTTGGTCGAGGTACGATAGAGCGTCCTCGACTTTGAGGCGCTGGAAGGAGGCGCCTCCTGCCCCCGTGGCCACTGGCACCACACCGACACCCGGGGACTGACGGCCTCCGATGCCCATGTTCGTCTGTTGGGAGACTAGCTGTAAGAGAAATAACATTTAAATCTGGTGCTCTTAATGTTTCAATCTGGTTTTAAACCAGTATATTAAGAACTAAAATACCAAATTAAGTCCGATCGAAAGTGACGGGGTCGTTAGTGTATTGGTAGCAATGTAATAATTATCAGGTCGCATGGGTTCGATCCCTACCGGGTCCCAAATGTTTGTAATCAATTTATAATTATTATGAAACATGTTGGACTTCGTCTAGAAACCTGGATGTATCCAGGGTCATGAACCACCGTGTACGGATGAAAAAGCCAAAATAGGTTGACAGTACATCTTTTTTGGATATTATATGGCTGGGGTATTTCCCCTACCATCAAGTTAACCCCAACCCCCATTGTGTGGCCTCCTCTATCACAAAAGAGACAAGTGATTGGCAACCCTCTTTCCCCCCTTCACTTGCCGCTATCATCAATGAATAACAGTTGGTTTCGTGATAATGCTACAAAATTGAAGAGGTGAAATTATAAGTGGTTATTAGGAATGTCTTAACATTTTCGGCACGCCATCGCCCAGCGGAGCGTGACGCTTCCAATGCTAAATCAATTTTTCCCTCTGTACGCAGTTGTCACGCCTAATTGAAACGTGCAACGGGATTAAGGGATTATGTTTCGTATATATATTGGCAATTTTTATATATGTACCTCCTTGGAAAACAGATGTCTAACTCGGTCTTATAATTAAAGAGCATGATATATATATATATATATATATGTGTATATTTGGTTTTAATGTCTATCTAAAGACTTCGTCTTAAAAACTTCACTCTTCTTCTACTATACCCGGGTCAGTCTGAAAACCTGCGCTGCATTGTGACAAGCACTCAGCAGCACAGCCGAGACTGGTACAAATTGCCATTCTTGTCTATTTTATTATGTTATATCGTGTCATGTAATTTGGTAGTTATAAGCTTACTGTACATGTGTTAAAAGCGCAATAAATCGTTTTGAATTTGAATATTTCCTTCCTCATATCTAAATTTGAATTATCTGATAGAGTACCTTAAGCCTGGGCGGAACTTGTGGCTGTTTGGGCGGCGCGTACTGCACAGTATTCGCCTTCAAGTAGTTGATCACCTGTGGAGCGCCGGGGCGGGGCGGGCCACGCCCGAATGCGCTTCCCACCGACAGCATCGTTGTTGCACCTGGGCGGAAAATTATTCACCTGCTATAATGCTACAGGACGTAACGAAGTCAAAAGGTCGTTAACGTAAGAAATACCCTTAACTATAATGTATCTTGGGTATAAAAACCCAGCCACTTTTCAGCTCATCGTAATAAAGAACACTGTAATATCATGCATGAATTAAAAACGCAGATAAAAGTAGTTCAAGTTTGTGTATTTACACTGAATATATAATAACGCGAAGGGCGAAGACATTTGTGTCTATTTCACTGATAGGTTTTTTATTTACTAAGTTAGGCAAGACTTTATTAAGACCCATTTTAGCAACAGAGGCGGCAAAAAAACCTTACCTAACATCTGAGGTTGGGCAGATTGCGCCAAAGCGTGCATATTACTTGCTCCAGCTTGTTGTATCTGTAACAAAGAGAAATCTTTTTTCACCAAGTTCATGTAGACAAGACTAACTGGACAAAAACCGAATAGAATTATTGTAGTCTTTTTTTCCTAAGAGATGCGGATAAAAGATTTGAAACTTTGAAGACTACAAATGAAATAACTGTTTTGACAGCATTATACCTGGCATATAGTTGCTATTCTAAGAGATTTTTTATGAATTTATAAAATTTGTTTAGGATTTGATGTTGACCCTATTTTGTTTTTTTAAACTTGATACTAATTTTAGTATCTCACAATCCACTACTCATTATAATCAAGAACTACCTATCTAGTCTTTGTTATTAAATAAAACACTACAACAGATGGCGCTAGCATAGTAGTATTTACTTTGACATCAGAGACACCCTCCATCTTTAGTCTGCCAGTGACCACGTCTGCTGCAAAGCATCCGAAACGTCAGGCCGTTTTTTTAATTTTCAAATAAGTTTAAGTAATGTATATCGCGTTTTATAGTATAGTAATAAAGTGTTTTATTTTAATGTGCACTACACGCGTAAGCTACAGACATACTGTCGTAGTTTTACCCCGTAATTATATTGCTTTCGTGAAACTGCGTCTATGACAATTATGACAAGAATGTCTTAACATTTTCGGCACGCCATCGCCCAGCGGAGCGTGACGCTTCCAATGCTAAATCGATTTGTCCCTCTGTACGCAGCTGTCACGTCTAATAGAAACGTGCAACGGGATTGAGGGAGGTTTTAGGATTTAGGTTCGATTATGTTTCGCATTTCTATTGCAAAATTTAATATCATTAATGATTCCCCAAAATGAGGTATTAAAGAGATACAATTAATCCGAATAACATTACTATGAATAATACATTCGAAGTGACACAGCAATAAGGTATGAAGACAACCTTTGGCACAGTATCAAACAAAACTATTAAGTAGCAAAGCGTTTAATCGAATTTAAATGTCTGATATTATTCGTGACGTCATAGCTTTTCCTCAAAAAGGCCTCGTCTGAATTAAATTCGAAAACCAAGTACCCGTGATCAATAAAACCTCGATATTTCGAGGTTAACTTATAACGCAGTTGGCTACGACCTTGCGTCGCTGTAGCGCCCGATCGCTCGAATAACTTATTTGTAAACAAAGTGTTGCCACAACAAAGAAAATTGCGTTCAATTCATAAAATCAAGATTGAGTTTTGTCTGTAGGTTACGAGAGTAATACACATTTAACGGTTTGAACCCACGTGACCACAGCTGCAAAGCAATCGTTACGTTCTTTGTTGTAAACATTACTAATATATTCCGAGTTTTAAACCGCTAAGTGCAATTTTAGCTGATACAAAGGATTGATATCGAATGCAATCCCTATCATATAACTTAGGCTTTGATTATATCTTTGTCTTAGGGCAGTGACCATTTTGTAAAAGCAGAATGATTAATCAAAGTTTCTATTGCGTAGCTATGATTGTTTTTAATTATTAATTATCGGTTTTCTATATCTATAAAAAAAAACGTAGTAACAATTACATCACTTTTCTTCAAATTATACTTAATCCAATTATATTAATGATTTTATTGTAAATACTTTAACCCTTAAAATTAGTGCCAAATAAAGAGATTTATTATTATTATCAAAATATGTTCAGTTATTTGTGAAACCAGACTTCATCTTAGACAAGAAAAATTTAATACATTGTGTACTGACATACAAAATGAATTGACACAAGTTCCCATTTGTAGAAGTCAATATAACAGCGCCCGTTTCTCCTATAACCGAGTATCGTGGTTATTCCCAAAGGCCAGTGACCATTTCGTGAATGTAAATTCATAAGTCGCGACTTTCGAATGGAGATAAACAAAAAGAAAATATCTTTTGATCTAGCCGTAAAGCGGGCGGCGCGTGCCAACAGTGATTCAGTCTACGCGTTGCGGCAGAAATAGATAAAAAACTTAAAAATATACCTTTCGTATTGCGAGCTACGAAACGTAAAGTTTATCAACGTAAGTCTATACTAATATTATAAAGCTGAATAGTTTGTTTGAATGCGCTAATCTCAGGAACTACTGGTTCGAATTAAAAACATATTTTTGTGTTTGTATTTTACACATTGAGGAAGGCTTTAAAACAATAAGACATTAGGTACGACCAAGGAGCGTACCAAGCTTCGATTCATTTTGGTACCTTAGAAATGGATGCCAAAACTTTTTTAAGAACTCTCAATATTAACAAATTAGATAGTGAAAGTATAATTATGGTAAGAAAATAAACAAAAATAAAAGCGCCTATCGAGTTCAGTTGATGTAAGAGAGAGAAACAGTCATGGCCACTCTCATATTTTATTTGAACTTCGATAATTTTTTTTCTAATTCTAACATACATCATGTTAAAAATACAAACGGATAGACAATGGGTCACTTAATGAGGTGAAATAAGACTAGCCTTTAACATCACAAGCTTCTGGCCTATTTGGTTTTTGGACATTCGAATGTCTAGACTATAAGGTAAAGGACGGAATTTTGATATTCCTACCATGATTATGCTACTATGGCATCTGTCAGTCCGTCAAAGACAAAAAGTATTACAGACAAAACAAACTAAACGGCGCTTGCTGCTCGATTTAAGATGACACACTTTCAAACTAATTAACGATAGCAAATATAACTCGACTTACGAGTACCGTTCAAAATTCCTTTACAGAAATTCCAGCGTTATTTCTGATGCATACAATTTGCATAAACCTTTGAAATGGGCTCTGAAACTAGCCTTACATTGAAATTTAAGTCCAGGATTCTAACACAGGAGACATGAAAAGATAAAATCTCTTTAGGACTTTTGAATACATACTCTAAAATAGTTGGGGCGCAATTCTATTTTAGCAGGTGAAAAGTTACCTATTGAGTAAGGATAAATATATCAAAATTTAAATTTAATTTATACTTTTGTGTTAAACATGTGTGGAAGTAAAATACTCTGCAGCGTAGACGTAAGACAAAATTGTATCCATGTCCAGCAGCTTGGGCGTGAAATAATAAATATTTAACGAGCCATACAAATAAAATAAAAAAACTAATAATATAAGGCTTCTGGGGCCACATTGCTGGGCTACTTTTCGAGCTGTTCGAGCCGTCCCAATCGAGAAGTTTCACTATCACGAGCCAAAAATCATCATCACATGTAGATCTTTCCTCGACTAAGCGAAAACTGAAGTTAAATTAACGACCTAAACGTCCAAAAAATCCATGTAGCAAAGTAGCTCTTTGTAAGACAAAAACGTATCGTACAGTAGTTTAAAAATTGAAGAACACGTTACATTGTTCCGACGTAATGTATATGTAACAAATCTAAACGGTGCAGCGGGCTCAGGCGGCATATTGATCCGCCTGACCTGCCCCAATCAAGGTCCATTGAGTCTGCGAAAATCCAATCCGAGCATTTGTTACAAACTTTTATTAAGGATATAATATGAGTACATATTATAAAACAAATTGATCTTAAAAGATAGGCGTAGCCCGTCGTGAACATTTGTTTAGACCATTTAAGGAGGAATCAATAATTTCTACATATTATATGGGTATTTTGAACGGTTTTCGTAGAGTACGCAACGAAAACCTATAAAGATGATTAATTCTCCCCGTTTTCTTCACATTTTCCGTTGTTTTTTCGCTCCTCTTAGTCACAGCGAGTTTTTTGCCTATAACTATCGTTGATGTCTTTTTTTGGATTCCCGCCTAGCTTAGCGCGATCAAACATACAAACAAGCAAACTCTTCGGCTTTATACATTAGTATAGATGAGAACATTATTACATGGGACGCTGTGTAAACGTAAAATACTTCCCCCGGGGGGGGCACATTGAACACTTTTCCTTGACCGTTTCACTGAAGAATTTTATTTATAAGTAGTTCACCATACTCCTGCGCTTTGCACGACCGAAATAATTGTCTTTCTCAGAATTTGAACCCAGGACATCTTGTGCTTATTGCATTTCTTCTGGGAAACATTTAAACATTGAGTATGGTGTCGGTTGATCTAACAATACTCCGATATCTAGGGTGTTAAATATACCAATGAAAACACTGCCGTGCAAAGGATTTTAAATAAAAATGTTTTGATATAAAGACTGCAGACGATTTTATAGGACTTGTATCATTAAAACAGACACATAAATGTGTCCCATGTTACATACCGAAGATAAAATTTCTCTCTTATAAAAATAATTTGGTAGATAGAAAATCTGGGACATATAAAACAAAAAATCTTTCATCTTATTCTCTTGTTTACGTGTACAGTTACTGATAACGTGAGATAACCTAGTGCTTACGAGACATTATAGGAGATAAATGCAAGATACTATATAGGGGAGTGCAGCATACACACCATAGTGTAGATTGGAAAATGGCAGTTTAGTGTTGTTACACTTAAGAAAAAAAGCAGAGAAAAGTGAGGTAGGCAAATTAAAATATTTACCTAATTTAGATCACTAGAATTTATCTCGATTTAAATTCTAAAACTGTACAAAGTTTAATTTTTGATAATAAATAACATCAACCGTCTTACTTAAGACCATAAAAAACACTACAACTTTTATCAACGGGAGAAAATTTGACAATAATAAAAGTTTGCCTAGAATTGGATTAATTAAATAAAATGTACGCTATTTTTATAAGGATGATTATTAATATAGTATAAGGTCCCAGCTAGTTAACAAAAAGGTTAATTTGAATATCTTTCATAATTTCGAGTTGAGTGGAGCTACCTATTAGCGCATATAAGCGCGGGCGCAGAATAACGACACACATCCTTTGGCACGCAATCTAGCTAGTTCAATGACATTACGCACAAGGCAAAGGATACTCTTGGATTATAATATACAAAAACGTTAACTCTAAATATTATAACATGTGAGGGAAATTTAAAACACCATGTTTCCACACAAACTTAATGTCATGTTCTTTGCAAACTTAATAACCATTGATGCAATGTAATTTTAATTAAGCAAATAATGTGATCATGGAATCAATGGAAGTGAAGGTTAAATGGATTACTCAGTGTTTAAGAAAATTAAGCAGCTTTTTAATTAAGGAACAAAAAACAAATAACTTATTCTTGGTAACATTCAAAATGTCCCAATATAGGTACCTAGACACAGACTTCATAAAATTTATATTCATCTAAACACATTGATTACAATAATTACCTGAGTAGGAGTCTGCTGCAAAGGCCCGGCCGGGTCATCTGGGCCCAGCCTGGCTCCCGTACGTTTCATCATGGTTAACACACCATCACACGTTCAACTGAAATTTAACATATTCACATTAACTCTTGGTTTTAGTAATATTATTGTTTTATGAAGTAGGCAACTAGATAATTTATATTTTGTGTTAGTAGAAATTTAATTTAAATATGTTACCCCACCAATTTGGGAACCTCCCCGTGGTATAATTTAAAAGGCTCAATAATAAAACATATAACACTATGTTCACAGGTCCGATAACATTACAAGCAATTCTTAATAAGTACAGAGGAAATATCATATTACAATAAATACAGTTTCTGCCGACCTAAACACATTTGCATGTAGAAATTCTCACAATAAATGTATTTCATTACCAGTATCACGTTGTGTTACGTTAACATATTTTGAGCTGATGTGATAGTTTTGTCAAGTTCTAAGTCAAATTAATTGTTGTGTGGGCTAAAATTGGCTTAATATACATTTAATTTAAAATAATAATTAGTTACTAGGCTATTAAGTTGCGCAGGATTCAGGAGCGATAACTATTCTATAGGTCACGCTGTACCTCGTGATTATCGCGTCACGTTTTTAGGTTACAGCAACAAATTTGGGAGTTAGGTTATGACACACTAGTGTACCATAGAAATAAAATCAAAAATTTGAAATAAAATGGGCCGAAGATTACGTAACTCGAAACTGAATTTTATGCTGTACATTTATCACCCTTACCAGCTTATATTGAACTTTAGTTCGCCTGGTCACGGTGACGTCATAGCACATTGTAATGCGTGGGACGGACTATTTAAAGTGTGAAAACGTGACGTTTATCAACGCATCGTAAAGCTTACAAACAAATTACGCAACCACAACTAAATATCGAAATATTCGACGGCGTGCCGTGGAAAGTCGAGCCGCTTAAGCTTTTCGAAAATCCAAATGGCTTCTCGCACAGGTTTATTCGAAAACCGGTATCGCGAAGGAGGCGATGACACAAACTCACACTTATTTATAGCGGAAAACGAATACAAATCGATAATACACCGGCTATATGCACAAATATAACAGCTACGCAAAATGCGATCCGTTCACGTAACTTTCGACGTATCACGACGATGGCTCACGCAAAATGCACAATGGAATTCATTTTGACAGGGACGTAACGACATATCCCGCCTTTTTTACGGGCGCGTTCTATACATACTTTAATTTATTCAGGTTCACGTTTTTACTTTTGCATTGCGAGAAACAGAAGATAATATTATTATTTCCATAATGAATCATAGTGCTTGGATACCGTTTTTGTTTTTTTTAACAATAGTCTTAAGATGTAAAGCGGTAAGGTCCGGTTTTCATTGGGCCGAAGTAAACGGGGACGGCGCGGCAGTATTCGTCACCGCTGTAGAAAATGGCGATTAAATACCAACAATTATTACATCGCAACTTGCAAGAACTTGTTTTTGCCCATTGTTAATTTTAAACCGTGTGGAAATTAATGATATGAACAAGTTAGGTACTTAACTACTTATCTCAAGAAAATAGATAACGCTGTTATGTGAACACTGAGAGACGCTCAATTTACATACCGAGAAAAGGCTGCTGGATGTCAAAATTTGCTCTTATGGACTCGATAATCTTCTTGTAACATATAAATCACTTGGAAGACAATGATTTGTGATAAAAACGCGTCACGACACGCTCCTCGCGAGCACATTCGTGCGCCTCCAAATAGCGCAACGGCGCAACTTTTTCGAGCGCGGCGTCAACACGGTCAGGTGGGCGAGGTTGCGACACCGCCATAGCTCCGTCTCGTTCGTGCTCTACTTCCTCTCACCGACCGTCCTCCGTCTCGCTCACACTCGCAATAAAAGCAGACTAGATAGCCAGGAAAACGAGCGGAGCCCTACGCGCACGAACGTCGCGCACCAAGCTGCGCGCTCGACTGAAGCTCAGCAGTCAGCGGCTCCACTCGATCCAGTGGCCCGTCGACGCCGAAGTAATCGAACCTGGAGAATAGAACTAAGCGGCAACGCCGCACGAAATAATAGCGAGCGAAACGGACGTGATACGAAATGCCACGACCGACGATTCACCACAAAGGTGGTAGACCAAAACAAATCTCCTTTCTCCTTATCCAAATTTACACGAGCTTTGCATTGAGGCGGCTCTTTCATGTTTCCCGCCTAAACGTATCTTAAAATAAAACCTTTGGTGGTCAAATAATGCAACTATATTTATCGATTCGAAATCTAGTCTAGTGATAAATTCATGTTGAGTGGGCGGTTATTGTGGGAAGAGAGGCTGCCTTGACAACCTAAAGCTATCGAGAGGGGATGATAATGAGAAAATTACAGGTCGTCGCAAAACTTGACAATACGATGCAAGCAACTCACAATTGTATTTAAATGTATAGGGATAATGAATTATTAAAAAAAAAAACATCAGGATATATTTATAGCTAGATGATTTTTGTATTTATCATCATTTTTAGTACTACCAACAAATATACACGATGTTGATAAAAGTTTTTATGTCTCAAAAATCAGGGATTACCAAAGAAAAGAAACAGTTCACCTGCCATAACTACACTGGAGGTCATTCAGATCAAACAGTCATAATAATAGCAGTACAGAGGAACCTTGTAAGTTGTCAATGACGGTAGAGAGCAAAGTCAGTCAATTAATTTCCATAAGTCTATGGTAAAGCATTCGAGGAAAATAAAAGAAATATTAAAATGTACTGTTTATTTATTATATTCGTGGAGGTTATGCAAAATGAGTATTCACTGGTAATATTTGGCCAATCCATTTTTTAAGGATTTGAGATATAATTCTGACTATTGAAAATAACCTACTATTAAGCAATATAAATCTTTTAAAGGTTTATCATAGCTATTGTTTGAAAAGAAAGCGGCTACTATTACTAATTGCTAAATACTATTTTGCTATTTAATAATACTATCATATAATTAAACTAAAACTATATGCATATTTGTTATTGATCATTAACTACATTTTAGAAACACATGTAGTAGGAATCATACATAAAATACATAAACATACTATAAATTATATAAAAAAGAGCTTATTATTGTTACATATTCGTATATGTTATTCGGTTTCGTGTGTTTTTTTTTTTGCAAAATAAAAGGTAGTCTAGTTGTTGGTTAAAATCTAATACCTGGCAGCCACTTTGATGTATATAAAATGTGGTTAAATTTGTTGAAGATAAATCAACACAGTAACAGGTAAGCTACTTAGGTATAGTGTTGTTTTTCTATATTAACGCGATCCCTTTCAATGTGTGCGCATTTGTAAGCTGGTTTATGCTAACTGTTACAGATGTAAGTGCAATAGCTATGTAGTACGGAGGTCGCAAAAAACTAGGCATCGAATGTACGCGTATAACAAAGAGGTTTTAATCAAAAATGCAACGGAGCAGATCGACGCTCGACTTTAAAATGAATTAAGTCAGATCACAGATGTAACAATTTAATTTACCACTTTTATATCTACAAAACGTTCAGCCTTGAAAGTTGTTATCGGATGAAACAAGTGACTGGGTTTAACATCGGTGCGACGTTGCCAACGTTACGCGATGCCTACTGCGTCTTAATTTTACGACGACACGACGTCCGCCATTTTGTTTTCATTATCACATGCAATGCAGCCTCATGCTTTCTAATTATTTACTTAATACGTTTCCTTTCTTTGATTTATGTTACACCTATTTCAATTATAAAGAGATGAAAATGAATTAAAGAAATGTTATACACGGCCACTCTACGTAACACTAAACGTGGTGCACATTACGTAACATCTAAACTAAAATCAATTTTCGCATACGATTCTTGGTCATAGAAGTTGTTGGATATAAATGCAATATGTCAATGTTAGGTATGGATCTAAAAAGCATTTTGAGCTATCCGATTTACGATGTTGGACATATGCATACCTAGCCATATGCCGGCATAATAGTCTTGGAGATACGTACATTAGGGTCGGGTACCAGCTCGCGAGGCGCACACCTCGCGGTCCCTTGACACCATTTGGGCCGACCGACATCAAGAATATTCACAATTACGGACATTTTAACTTGAATTCCACTATATCGATCACGCACCAGCGCCATTTTTAACCTACACTGAATGTGAACGCACAGTGGCGCTGTTGCCACGTCGCTGCGTTTCCAATCCGCGCTTCTATTTCAGGCCTTCCTCCGCCCGCGCGCCTCGCGCCCCCCTGACATCCCGCGAACAGAACTGACAAGTCTACAAAACATTCATAACTATCGCGCATTGCGAGCTACCTATACGGTGTAAAAATACAAATTCTAGTCGAAGCGAGCGACGCTGTTGCGTCTTATACGATAAGATAGTTCATATAATATAGGTACATTATTATAGATGCTCGTTGCGAGCGTGATACATCGCGCCGGCTTTCACCAGAGCGGGGCGAGGCACGGCCGCGCAGGACATATGCCATTGGCCACCTCGGAGATCGATAGACAAACAGCGACGAGGACGCCGACCTACATAGCATAGGGCGCCTTGCGCTTTTGGAAATAGAGACCGTTTTACGTCAGCACGCACAATAAACAAACTACCGCACCAACACACTGACATATTCATCGTAGTTACACACGAACACAGCTATGTTGAAACGACGCGGGGAACGGCAGCGCGCGGCCTGAACTACCAATGTATATCATTATGTATTATGGCACTTTTCTAGAGTCGAAATTCCTATACCCGGCGCACCCAACGCTCTTCGTTGAAGGACAAAGGGCCGATTTCACTCAAAATACAAAGGGAAACGCCGGTCGGATAAGACACTTGCTTGTTTACAATGATTGAACTTTTTTACACGATTTAATTGGACATCGCGTTGCCAAGTTGTCGACGAGACTACGAGAGCGCGCGGTCTATCATTATGAAATTACGCTTTTTATTCAGCTCCATCTACATTTTGCACAAATCTACACGCGTATCTGAATTTTGTAATACATATTACGTCTCAGAAAGTGTAACGTATGGATGAAGCCCGGATATCAATTATTGCTATAGTACAATATGTCACCGAAATCACGTTTTTCTACTCAAAAATCACTACAATTACACTAATAAGCAATGCAAAACACTTTTTAAGTGATTAAAAAGCAAATAATAGCAAAAGATGCAGTCTGTCAATGGTACACTTACCTGTATTTATAATAGAAATCGTTGTTTTTCTTCACAAATTTCACAGGAACTGCACTTCTCGATGTAATAATCAAATGGATTATGGTATTTTAAGGTTTTGAGAAGATTTTAAGTGCACAAAAAATATATGCATTCCGTCAAACGTACGTCTTCCGTGCATAGAGACCGAATGCGAACTGCTATGTTGGTTTAGTTTGGGCCGGTTGGGGTGAAGGGGGTCGGGCGGAAAATCGGAGAACGGGTGAGCTAAGGAATCGAACAAGCTTTCATTTAATCTTTCTTTGGCGCCGTTATAGAGTTGTAAAATAATATTATACCAATAAATACAACACAGATTTGTTTAATCTAGAACCTTTGTAAAATTTACATTCTTTAGAAACAGCCATTATAATAATACTAATCATGACATCCGTTGTAATGGTATGCCTATTGTTTTAGATCTCGTTACTATTTAGGCTATAGAATCTCTTGATATTGCAGTCGCTTATTGTACTTGTAATTTCGAAAACAAGTTTTATGGAAATCATTTTAATTGAATATTGTCATTGTAAATGTTTTTATTGTAGTTAGTAGAATTATTTTTGTTAGTAATAATAATTATTATTGTTGTAGAATGTAAATTAATTATGATGTTTTTTATTGTTGCCAGATGAAAAAAAACTCAGTACATTTGACATTTGACAACTTGTAACAACAATATGAACCTTTTCGTCCAATCAGAAATGAGTTCGTGTATTTGTTCAACAGAAGCAAATGATAAATAATTTTCCACGTAGAATTAAATTTTTAGCCGCATTTTCTTGTAAAACCCGACTGGAAAAGACTCGCCCTATAGTATAGTTATAATATTTAACAATGCGTTTTGCGTGTTCTATACTAATTTCTTCCTTTTTAGTAGTATTAGTTTCTGGAGCGATTGATCCGCGAAATTTAAAATGTCTAGGTATGTGTTTTGGTGTTATTAATTAAATCATATAAACTTGTTTTGGTCGTTATATGCGTTTCAGTAATGTGTTAAACATATTTTCAGTGTGTCGGACAACCTTCGAAGAGCTCAACAGAGCGATAATGAAGGTGGATAAATGGAAAAAAGTGGACGTAAGTAATCCTTTGATAATGATGATGATAAGCAATTAAATTTATTACAAATTAATATCATTAGTCAATTCCCTTCCAAATTTTCCATGAATTAAAGAAAATCCATGCGAATATGAAGGCATGTCTACCATCTTGGCCAGGGTATACATTTTTGAAAAGCTGTTATCATTCAAATATTGTTGTACATACAGCCCATTTTCAGTTTAGGGTATGGTTTACAGATAACTGTATAAGGTATATTCTATTTATAATAAGAGGTGCATCCCTCAAACCTCAAAAATCCTGAGAGTAAGTGTTAAAACATTACATTGTTTTAATACTACTAGATTATTAGGGCATTTGAATAGTTACAGGAAGATGATCAATGTGCTTATTATTGGATATAGTATAAATTGACATGTATTTTAATTTTCAGGAACTTAGCTAAAACTATCTTAGCACATACCTATAACCTTAACTACAATTAATAACCGAGTATATCATAATTGTCAAATAATATTATTACAAATACTTAATAATTTTAAAGGTTGGCAACTTCAGAATGGATGCAGATGGCAACACTATGCAACAAAAGGTGCCAGCGCATAGATCTGCTGTTTTCATTTCTGAACTCATTGATGGAATTTGTAAGTATTGTTACGCTTTGTTTATTTTAAGGAAATTTCTTCACTTTTGAGGGAATGCTTCTTGTACCAGACTTTTAGGCAAAAAAAAGTAACAATCTTCTTGTTTTTGTCTTTAGGTAAGAAAATGGATGACTATGTCCGTGTATACTACAAATCTACTGGTAAATTGGCTATAATGCAGCTGATCATGGAGGGGGGCGGTATGAACCCAGAGTTCTCTAAGACCAAGTTTGTCACTGATGATGATTTGAATAAGAGCTTAGAGTATTATGTAAGTTGTTGTATGAATTCAATTTACATATTACAAATTAAGTATTTTGTGACAGTTTCGCTGATAGGTTCTTTTACAAGCAAGTAGTTGCACAGACTTCTGTGCCCCGCCCGACTGAAACAATTAATTAATTCCTTGGGATTCAAACTCGACTCCTCGACTATCGCGCTTATCGCAATGCTAGGCAACATGTTTACCATTTGGCTACAGAAGTGGTCATAAATATATTAATTCAATTCTAATTTTGTAGGTAATGTCACTAAAAATGATTTAGTTTAAGTACAAATATACGAAATTTATGATTTTGAAACTTTTTCAGTGTGAACGCATGTTTGAAGAAAATGAAGATGAAATAACTGATTTGTATAAGAAGAGACCGCACGATGATATTATGCCTGATGCGGAGAAGGAGGTAAGACTACCACCTTATCATCTATCCATATTGATGATTCTTTTACAACAGTCCATTTAAATTTTTTTTTATAAGTTCTTGACAAATAAGTAAAACATCATTCTTCTCACCTAGTAGAACTAATTCTGCTGATGCATAGCATTTGAAACGTCGGGCCGTAATTAAAATAATTTTCAAAACAATTAACTAATATACATAACGTTTTAAGCCGTTAAAGTGTTTATTTAACTCTGATGTTGTTCTCGTGTGTTTAAGAACCATTTTATTTTGCAACGCAAACAGTTCGAAAATAAAAACCCTTATAGAATGAACAATTTAAACTCTAATTTCATAATAAAACCTAAATCTCATAAATATATAATAATACTGTCATTCATTGTAACGGACACACAAGTGTGTCAGAGTATACAATGATCTGAATCAAAGCTCAACCTCTCCATCATAACATTGTTTTTCGTTAATTAAGAATTGATTCTTCGAGCAATCGAGGAGTTAACATCTCCTGATGATGCCGTTCGCACGTGATGGCGAAACGTCGAGAACCTCTTCTCGCTCACATCGATACATATGTTGAACGATGGCTGTGAAAGCCTTACACAATTTATTTCTCAATCTCTCCATTCTTTTAAAACCTTCATTTTTGGTTTTCCTTCACTTCAGGTCGCCTGGAAGAGCGATACGGCCGCCTTTTATTTATAAGCTAATTCATAAGATTATGTATTCATAATAAAATGATTATTATTTTAAAAAATCTTACAAAAAGTCCATCAATTAAAAAGTTAATAGAATTGTTGCCATTTCTAGATATGTTTCAACCACGCCAAGTACTGTGAAGACTGGATGCTGCCCAACGAAGAAGACACCACGTGGACCGCTGAGATGGAGAAGGAGTACGTCAAGGTAATTATGAATTAACTAGCTGTGCCAAGGAATTTGTCCGCTAAGAATATTTATTTTGGGGAGGCAAATTAGTTTCTGCAAACCCGTGTCCCTTCCCGTCGTTCTTGCAAATTGATATGAAAAGATAGACATACAGCGTCGCGGAGGTTTTCTTAGATCATTTAAAGTGGAATCTTCTTTCATACATATTTTTTGGGTGCCTTGAACCGTTTTAAAGTAAGGCCTCTGTATCTAAATAGTTAAACGTGTGTACATTGCGTTAAGCGCGAGAGGCCCTTGGTTCGAATCCCGGGAAAACAATCCATTGTTTCGGTCGGGCAGGGCTAGAACTCTGATCAACTACTTGTAAATAATCCGATCAGTGAAACGGGCAAGAAAATATGTTCGCCCCATGCCCCACGGGAGGAAACGGGATTTCACTCACTAAATTACTTCTCCAGATCCACGGACCAGACCCCTACGGGTTCAGTGGGGGCCTAGGCGGCATGGGGATGGACCAGCCGACCCCCGACGCTGATGATGAAGGATACGATGACACTGATGCCAAGGAGGAGCTGTGATGAGTGATAGATGATGAATGTGGATGGGTGATGACTAATTGTGCCAGTGACAAAAAGACAGCCTATTAAGTATTGTCATATAAAAAGTTATTAGTTACTTAAACAAGGTTATTTACCGTCTGTAGTTTACGCGAGTAGTACACAATTAAATAAAAAACTTCAACGGTTTAAAACGCAATATCTATTAGTTAAAGTTTTTGGATTATTTAAACTACGTCCCCCACCACTGCTGCAAAGCATCTGAAACGTCGGGCCTTATTTATAAATAATTCAAATAAGTTTTACCAATATATAGGGCGTTTTAAACCGTCGAAGTGTTTTATTTAAAAGAGGTAATATTATAGAATTAATTTCTGCATTTTTATAAATGTTATATATTAGAGTTTTGTTTAGTTTTCATTATATAACAGACATTGTGGTTGTGTAAACAAGATTCCTGCCTGATTAATGTGAATGAAAATTCTTAATTCTATTGTGCCTTATAAATTAAAATCTATTTAAACTAAAAAAAAAAATTACGAGGGCGGGCCTTGAACCGGCATCCACTGTGTTTCCTTGCTCGTCTAACTAAGTGACCTAAAAATGGTGCGCAACAGCACGGAACGGATTTTTTTCAATCTATATAAAGTTTTCAAATACCTTAAAATTTATAATATACAAATTTTATAGGGCAAGGCCAAATAACATATGACATATGTCAGCTGTCTCAGAGATATAGAAAGAATTATATATTTGTTTGCTATATTACAAAACTTCGTTAAACATATTCTCCAAGAAAATAGACTGAAGAAGTGCAATTTTGAATATTCCAACTTTTTATATAATTGTGTGTCGACATTTAATGTCAAAATGTGTGATTTATAAAGATTTCTAATTAAAGTCTGTTTTATTTGTACTTAAATAAACGTACTATAACAACATGAATTTTTATAACATTTTTAAATTTGACTGAGCTTATTTCGTTTTTAAAAAATGAATAAATCGTTCTTCGTTCGTTTTTTCTTAAGTAAATAATGGACAAACACACATGCATAGGGTATTAATAGAACCGAATTTATGTAGTACAAAGTTATTGATAAATACTGTCTATAGTTTACGCAAGTAGTACACATTTAAATAAAACACATTGACGGTTTAAAACGCAATATATTTTGGTAAACTTTTTTGAAAATAATTTTTTATACAGCCTGACGTTTCGGATGCTTCGCAGCAGCCGTGCTCACGGGGAGACTTTGACGGAAATATATCGCATTTTAAACCATTAAAGTGTTTTATTTAAAAATTAATGATATTTATACAAAAAAGTTGTTTTTAAAATTAAAGATATTAGTGGTTTTTGAAACCATCCATAAATTAAACACTAAATATACAAGATTAATTTATTATTAAGATCCATTATCAATTTAGACAACATCTATAAAAATAAGGCCACTTAATTGTATTGTCTTTGAGTTTGGCAAGATTTTTGTCGAATAATATTTATGACACTAGTAGGTAGGTACGTAGTTCTAATTCTTAGAATCAATTTTACAGAAACAAGAAACAACATCTCACAGGGGCGATGCCATCAATATTTCTTTTTAAAAAATATTTAGTGGGATAAAAACAATAATTTTAGGCTTCACATAAACAAAACAAGACAATAGCTAAGATACACAATACGTTATATAAATTACAAAAAAGAACATTATACAATACGTAAGTAGCTGTTAAGTTGTGTAAAGTCATCAAAAACTGTCATTTAAGTTAATATAAATGGTGTCCCTTCCCGTAAGTCTACATAAAGCGTGTTTGGCAGGACTAGGCATTAGTCTAGATTGTGTACAACAGAGAAATTATCAATAAAAAACATCAAAAAACCAACTTTAAATCTATATGTACAAAGAGTAAAAATTAAAACCTACTTTTATGTAGCTTTGTCAAAAATCTCGATCTTTCTCGAAAAATCGTATATCGGAGCTACAATTACAGAATGGCTGATGAAAGAGCTCCAAGGTCCTCGCTGAATTCTCAACCAGGAGGCAAATAAAAGGTACTACGAGGCAGGTAGTACCGAGGAGGGACATCGTAATCTTAGAAGTCCAGAACTTGAAACAGGAAGATCAGAACCCGATGCGGCAACAACTAGAACCTCCTCAGCACACAGCGCTGTACTGTCTTTTCTAGAGATGACAAAGAATGACAATCGTCAAAATCGAATAACAAACACAAATATGATGGAGGATCAGTTTACAAACAAGATCCAATAGAATGTAGTCCACTCGAAAATACCTTTTTCTAATACTAAAGATTTTAAACGCTAGCAACACATAGTTCTTTGTGTTTCGCCGTGGGCAACCCTGTCGTCGCTCCACGCTGGCAACTCAACTTTGCCTATGTGGGTTGCCATTTCTTCTGTGGGGTTACCTGTGGAAAACGAAAATGTTAGAGGAGTTTGTATCATTTACTCGTAGATTTTATTCACAGGAAGTAAAGACTTAAACAGTTTACAGCGACATATCGTTAACTGATTTTTTATTTATAAGGTGACCCAAACGTCAAAGTCGAATCTGCTACGCCAGCGCCATCCGTTGGAATTTGGAGAAGCTAGCTGGGTCCTTACAGAACTTATTCACGGTGTCTTAATTTATATATTTCGTGAGCCGTAAAATGAATATTATGAATTAATCATATCCATCTGTAACCGAAATTAATCTTTTACGAAGATACTTATTTACTAACTATCTATGTCAGCGACTTTGTCCGCGGGCATCAAAAACTCTTTTTGCAAACCTCTTCTTCATCTTTATAAATTGAATCTGTTACCCACAACGTCGGTCGCGTCTCGTCGTTCTTGCGAGTTAATCTTGAAAGAAATGTCGCAAACTTTTTTTTTAGATTATTCTTGCATACATATTTTTTGGGTATCTTGAACCACTCTAAGGTGAATAATTTTCCTCGTTTTCCACATTTCCCGCTTTTTATTAGTCATGTGCCTATTGCCAACAGCGCAGACTTAAACTACATATAACGTTTTAAACCATTAATAGTTTTATTTGAATAACCGACAACTTACCGAAGGGCAGTCTCTCATCTCCATCTACGGAATCGTAAGACCGCATCGAGGACACGAGATTGGTACTCGACAGACTGAGCAGGGCTGTTGCCGTACTTAGGAATACTTGATCTATACCCTGGAAAACAAATCAATTCAATCATTTATTACACATCTAAAAATAGGGCGACAGCGCATTTTGTCAAGATGTTATATAGCTGGGGCTTGATGTTATATAGTTGCTCTACCAATTGAGCTACCGAGTCCTACCTACTACTACTAGTAGGACCTAGTACTACCTGCAGCACGGAACGCTGAAGATGCCGGTTCAAGTCCTGCCCGAGTCGAAAAACATTTTTTTTTTCAATTTATTTTCGATTTTGAAATTATATAGTGAAATAACATGTAAAAAATAATAAAGTTTTCAAAGGTAGAATAAGTTAATATAAAGTAAATGTTCAGAAGATCTCCAAACTATTTACTTTCGCAGTTTCTAGAATCTTTGTATTTGTTCCATCCTTAGTTCTTTGATAATATCATCTGGGCTTTTGTTCGCTCCCATATGTTTTTCGTAAGTGAGTACGCAGAGCATTCAGTGAGTAGATGGATCCTTGCTTTTGCACTTCGGGCACGCAGGGTCGTTACCGTGTATTGTGAGATGTGTTTAGACGACAATGACCTGTCCTTTGTCTATTCGGTATCTTGTCTCATGCCATTAGACAACTTCCACCTCTGGTTTATTTGTTCTCTGATACTGCGGTGGATTATTCCCTTGGCAACTTTATAAGCTATCGGAAGTCTTGGTTCCGGCACCACCATGTTTAAAGTAATAAAGATGGAAAAAATAATAAGATTCTGCAAGCAAACAGAGGCAGTTTTGAAGGAGACACAGTGGGAGTTAGATAAGCCAAAGTCCTCTGCAAGGAGGATATGGGTGACATAGTCAGCTGATAGTGAGGACTGATCACCCGGCCTTCTATCAGTGTCCTCGATAGAAAATAATAATCATAAATGTATGTTTTAAGTAATTTTTAATGTTTTAGATAATGTCCTGTTGTGTATTAGAGAATGAGGGTTTTTTTAAGTAGACTTTAGTACTAAGTAGTTAGCTATCCAACACACACATAAGAAAGAAAACATTAGTTCGAAAATTTTATGTTATACTCACGGAAAGCAGTGTAAAATAAAGCGTCGCGCATAATAATGATAACTGAACGATATAATGCATGGGAGTGATTACCTGGTCGTGCAGAGCAGACGTCTCGCAATAGGCCGCGCCGATAGATGTCGCGTACTGTGTCGCCTCATTGTTGGAGACAGCGCGGCACGACTCCAGGTCGCACTTGTTCCCCACCAGCGCCAACACCATGGGCTCGGGGACATTGCTGAAATTGAATAATCATGCCCATTATACAAAGCGACTTTGGTCTTCGGGCTTATCGACCGTCGTAATTGAATGATTGTCGACGTTGCTCCATCTCGTGTGGATGACTTCATCATCAGATGTTAAGCGTCGCGCTGTGGTCAGTCTTCGTTTAATTCGTGACGTCAACCCCCGGTAGCTTTGAAATAGTACTTATTTCTTATTTAAAAAAAATAAAGCTAAAATGAATGATTAAAGCGCACTCACGTTGCCCTGGTTCGCTTATTACACCTGGGTTTTAATACCGGGAAAAATAAAACTTATAATAGGCAGGGCATAGACTACTGATCGAATAACCGATTGTAAATGAAACGGACACAGTTGTGTGTTTCATCTATACCACAAACATAGACAGTTAAGCTACCACTGAAAGTTTTTGAATTTGAAAATCCTTGAATAAAATGTTTTAAATTCGCGTCAGGACACAATACCTGATGAAAAATTCTTTAGACGGAGGGCAACATAAATTGCCATGTTGTGTATAATACAATAAATTAATATACACCATAAATTAATAAATGTTTATTTTGTTTACAGCAAAATAACAAAATTATTCCCTTAATAAGTCAAGTTCTCACCATCCACACACACACAAGTCACACAGTCCGTGGTAGTGATAAGAATGCAACTCTTTGTATTAAAGCCACAATATTAAATAAATACTAACCTCTGCAACTCCTTCACCCAACCCTTGATCGCGGCGAAGCTGCTGGCATTCGTTATATCGTAGACTAGCAACGCTGCGTTTGCGTTTCTGTAGTACATTGGTGCCATCGAGCGAAATCTTTCTTGGCCCGCAGTGTCCCATACCTGGAATGAGTATTGTTATGGTAGAGAAGCACAGAACAGAGATCATAGGGTCCACTTGACGAAAGGTAAATCGAAAGGCAATCGACTACGATTTTTAATTTATATAACTCCATACATCTAAAATCTGAGCAATATGTCAACCTGACATTTGGAAATACAGCTTGCAGCCGAAACTTTGATTTGCTTGCAACCATCCATTTAATGTCCACATTTTCCAAAAGTCTAACATGTATTAAAAAATACGTATATAATGGGTTTTTATAAAAGTGGTGTTTTATTAATTAGATTAAGATACAATTTTACATATTATATATGTTTTTAATATCAAACAAAAATTAACAAAAGATCGCGTAGAGTCCTTAAAGATTATCCCTTATGGATCCCTTGTCCCGAAATTGACAACCAATATCCGACGCCGCAATTTTTTTTACACTACCTCAATCTTTAATTAAACTGCTCATAAATAGTCGCGGAATTATAATTATAAATTTGGTAAAAATCGTACCTGCAATTTTACTCTTGCGTCATCAACATTGATATTGCACGTAAAAAAAGACGCGCCGATAGTCGGCGATATGTGTTTGGAGAACATCTTCCCGATGTAGCGGACCACGAGGCTCGTTTTGCCGACGCCTGGAACATACATACGGAACAGTTTAGTCTTACTCAACTTTTAACGATTAAAACTGTCTATAGATAAATAAATACTGTCTATAGTTTACGCGAGTAGTATTTAAATATAACGGTTTAAAACGCGATATATTAGTTAAACTTATTTGAAAATGATTTTCAAGTCTCCCCGTGACCACAGCTGCTGCAAAGCATCCGAAACGACGGGCCGAAGTTAAAAATCATTTTCAAATAAGTTTAACTAATATATGGCATTTGAAAACATTAATATTTTTCACATTTTATTGCACATGAAGGCACTATATAATTTAAAAATCGAAAATAAATTGAAAAAAATTTCCCCCCCCGCCCCCAGGACTTGAACCGCATCGTCAGCTTTCCGTGCTGTTGCTCTACCAATTGAGTACCGAGTCCTACACCCCATCGTCGAATTTTTCCAACTTATTGATACATGCACCTCTTGCGCAACTCTCTGACGATGCCGGTTCAAGTCCTGCCCGAGTCGAAAATTTTTTAAATTTATTTTCGATTTTTAACTAACATATGGCGTTTTGAACCGTTCAAGTGTTTTATTTAAACTGTCTCTTGGTTTTCGGGCGAGCATCACTAGGTCTCAGAAGGTGTGCACGGCCTCACCTCTAACACAAAAAGGTGGCCTTATAACGTTTAAACAAGATTCGCTGTCCTGGTAAGTATTTTGGTTTGGACAAACTGAAATCGAAACCACAATCCGTTGATTAAAAGCCATACACAGCTGCCATTGGGCCAACGAGTCCAAAACAATAATCTTTAAGGTCTCAAAAATTTTCAAGTCGCCTTGATATGTTATGTTATAGATCTATTATTTTATTACTGTATTATTGAGTGGCCTTAAATAAGCACTTGACCTTAAATTAACTTCAAAATAGCACCTGTACGCAACACTAAAAAATTCTACGCGATAAATGCATAGCGATCTAAATTAATAAGTACACTGCTATTTTAAATAAGTAAGGGACACTCGAAACTAGCTTCTTTAAAACATTTGGCTTTGACACTCGTACTATTTTTTTTTTAACAAAACACTTCAACGGTTTAAAACGCGATATTATTACTACATTGGTATTACATTCATACAGAATGTGGCAAACATATTTCTGTGTCTTCCATAGATCTTTTATAAGTCATAGGTAAAGGGTCTGCGGCCGATAAAACAATAATTTTATAAATTAGCTTGTGTCGGTATGCCCTAAGGCCTTTTATATAACACAAAACCTGTTTCTAACATATTGGCTTCATTATCATAATACTTCGATTCAAGTTATTACACAACCTTTATTATTTATTGAGAAATCGGGCGCTATGCAAGTGGACCCCGTTTTTGGGCATGGACATTTATTAATGTCTTTAGCGTTTTATACTACTAATATCATAAAGTTGTGTTGCCTGGAAGAGATCGCTCGTTAGCGATAAGGCCGCCCACCGTACTCTATATGTCTAGTTAGTATATAAGTCTCGTTTATATTTTTGTTCATTTTTGTCTAATAAAGTGTAAATAAGTATATAAATAAATAAATCTGAACAGTTTTTTGAACGCGATAATCTCAGGAAATAATTCATTCGAACTGAAAAATTATACTTGTGTTCAATAGACCTTTTCTCCAGAAATGCTATAGAACATCGGCTGTGACTAATAGGAGGAAATATGAAAAAAAGGGGGAAAATATTTATCAGGTTAAGATAAATACTGTCTATAGTTTACGCGAGTAGTAGACATAAATAAAACACTTTAACGGGAATATTAGTTAAACTTATTAGAAAATGATTTTTAACTTCGGTCCGACGTTTCGGATGCTTTGCAGCAGCCGTGGTCACGGGGAGATTAAAGATGGAGGATGTCTCTGACGTCAAAGTAAAAATTGCTACACTAGCGCCATCTGTTCCGTCGAAGTTGGTATTTGGCGAAACTGGCCGGGTCCTTACAGAATTGACTAACGGTGTCTTTGCGTTTGCCGGTGTGCTGTTTATTGGGATCCAGAGTTTTTGGGATATTTAAAGGTTAAGATACCCAAAAAAAATTATGAAAGAATGTTTCCCCTTTAAATGATCTAAAAAAATGTCCACAATAGTATATGTCTATTTTGCAAGAACTACATGACGCGGACAACGATTACACCAACAGCCTAAATAAATCTACGCGAACGAAGTCGCAGACAACCGCTAGTATTACTTAAAAACATTTTCCAGGTACGCGAGTGATAAATATATACAAAAAATGCATTTCACGAAAAACACACGACACATATTCTAAGATTTTTTATCACATCAAAATACATAAGAAAACCACACATATGATTTATCTGTTTGTGAATCGATAAGACAAGCTACTGTTCTTCGATAAAAAAACCCACTCTTAAGAGGAAAATCCTGAGCAGGACTGGGAAGAACTGTATATTCTTTTTGGTCGGTGAGGCCTCTGCGCAGGCTCATATGGTAATCTTATAACGCTGATTTCGTGCGTGAGATTATGTTTATTCTACAGTAGTTAGATATCTGCGTAGTAAATGAGCCATAGTCAGTAATTTAACATGTCCAACAACGCTCTAACGGTTGAAAACGTTGATTAACTAATTTGGCATTTTAAACCGTTAAAAGTGATTCATGAGAAATATTTTTTGTTTATTTTTAAGATCTGACAAATTATACATTTCCACGGTTTGACATTATTAGTTAAACTTCCCTCAACGTCTGTAGGGCTATAGCAAATGTAGCCTGCGACCAGACGCGATAATAATAAGAATGGTGTCGCATAACATAAGAATAACAGCGATAAGGGGCTCTACGAAGGAACCGGCAACGATGAAGAGAAAGAAAATAATTACTACAGTCAAATTATCACTACAGTAAAAAGTCAGTAAAACGTTAAACTTCGGTTTGTAATACGGATTACAATAAACCGGGGTTTAAACCAGGTTTTAGAGTTAGTCCCTGTTTTGTAATAAGAGTGAAAGTGTTGCAGACATTTCTATTTTGTATCTTGAACATTCTATACAAGAATGATTTTCCCCGTTTTCTTCACATTTCCCGTTATGTGTTGTTGTGCCATGTTTCATATATATTCAGCTTACAGCCCTCGTCGATAAACACTCTAATCAACACAAAAATATTTTTTTTAATCGAACTACCTAGTAGTTCCTAAGATTAGTGCGTTCAAACATACAAACAAACTCTTCAGCTTTATATATTAGTATAGATATCTGAAAACTTTAATATTTATCCATATTTTTTTCCACAAGGGGGACTCATATAATTACAAATCCAAAAAATAAAAAATTCGACTCGGGCAGGACTTGAACCGGAATAAAGGGTTAAGGTTGAAATTACATTGCGTGAGAGGTGCATGTAAATGATAAGTTAAAAAGCTTCGACGATAAGGTGTAGGACTCGGTAGCTCAATTGGTAGAGCAACAGCACAGATCCTGCCCAAGTCGAAAATGTTTTTAATTCATTTTCGATTTTTAAAAAGTAAAGATATCTCTTTTTAAAACGCGTTCTGCCTTACCTCCCAAGTTAACACACTTAGGCACAACTTTTAGTAATAAAACGAATATGGCAGGACACTAAAAAGGCTTCAACACAAGGCCCGTATGCACTAGTGCCTAAATAAACACAACAAGGTTAAAAATGTCGTGTGGTTAGGGCATCTAGGCTTGTAGGGTATTATTTTTCGTATAGGGATTCATATCTTGTTACCACTCGCTTATTTCGCAAGTATTTTTTAGTGCTTTGGCTTTACGCCTAACCGGTTCGGTGTATTAATAACGAAACCGTATTTTTATACAATTAATATCCTAATTATAACCGGGACGTGTATTGATAATAACATATTATAAGTGTGTTATCCTTAGTCCTTACTAAATGTTGCGGGTTCGATTTCTAGTTCTCCTGCATGTCCTAAACGGAGTGTGTTCAGTAGTCCAAATATAGAAGTTAAATTACATTGCGCTGAAAAAATTAAAATGAAGGACAGTAGCTAATTGGTAAGAGCTCGGAACGCTGTTGATGCCGGTTCAAGTCCTGCCCGTATCGTAAAATATTTTCAATATAGTTCAAAATTCAAAAAAAAACAAAGTTATGTTAAACCATCAACTATCATTACACATTAAGAAAAAACATAACACCCCATTTCCAGTAAAGTCGGGTAACTAATTAATTGTGTAACGCGACCGACCTAAATGTTTAACAGTTAGTAGACTAGTACACTAACAAACCAGCCGTAGCTAAAACCTGTTTCTTTTTTTATCACTTTTTTTAATGCCCACGAAATAAGGCCTTTAATAAAAAGGTTTTTATAAGATTAATTATGCTCCAGGTCTATGGTCTACGGAAACAGGTTTTTTCTTTTCGGCCAGTGCTTGCCGCCGTGGTGCATTGTGCTTATTTTATTTTTAATAGAGTAAGATAGACAAACATGGACACTTGGTGGAAGGTGAAATGTTCCAGGCATGAAACATCAAATTATAGCGTCCAATTTACGGCCAAAGTAAAGCTCATAATATTCGTTTCTTCAAAAATAATATTTACCAAAAGACAGGCACAAGAAGAAATTACCAACAAAAAATAAAAACACTTTTGTTGCTAACTGTACTCAAGTGTTATAATTGCATATCTTTACATTCACAACAGGTTATAATTTATAATTAAAGAGCGCGCATTCTTATAACATATACCATATACTATGTAGTCAATATTATCCTTATCTGGGTCTTAAAACAAGTCTTATCATATCTTGTCATCACTTTAAACTGGAATTTACTTAAAACTGTATTTATTTTGTAAAAATTAAAATTCGTAAGCAAGTATGGATTTTAAAAAAGTATTTTGCACACCTTCCTGCCTGGTATTCTAAATACATATATTTAACAACAATTAAAACATACATTTTAATATATGATGCCTTTAAAATAATCACAAAAAATTACAACAGGATTTTGTTTCATTTTATACACTATTATATTGTTATAAGCTATATAAACAACAATAGCGCAATGTCAATCAAAGATGTGGATAACATAATCTGCAAAATGGTGTATACATATGCATTTTTCTGCAAATTTTAAAATCAGTTAAACAATTTAATGACAGTACATTATTTTGATCTAGCTCACTTTGGTTTTAAACTCCAGCTATAGAAAAAAGCCTTTTTATCATCAATAGAGAAAACAATTCGTCACTGACCATTTGGGAAAAGTCAACTATTTATTAAATTAATAACATTTTTAAGAACATATTTTTGATACATTGAATCGTAGGAGATTTAATTTTTAGTAATACTTCAAAAACTACATTTTATATATTTTAAGGATTTATTAAATAAGTTGTAAATAAAAAATTACAAACACTGTATTAACAGCTGTTGTAATCAATATTCACTTCATTATTATACTCCTTATGTGCCGGCCCTAAGCTGCACTCTATTAGGCGATGGCCCTAAGCTGTGCCACTACGGGGAAACTGCTGATAGTGCGCGTATTCGATACCCGTGCGATCGGTATGTGACGCTACTGTTGCCGTACCCATTTTAGCATAAGATATTAATTAGAATAATTGAAGGAGTCGACCTGATGCATCGTGCACAGGGAGACAAGTAGGATTAATTAATATGTAATATTTTTAAATAAATTAATTTTAAGTAAATGAGTTTTTTTGCAACCACCAGTGGCGACTAACATAATTTACTCATAGGTGAAATAAACATATTGTAAAATTTATTTCTATTTTGGATTTGGATTTACTTTCTAGACCCAACCACATTTTGACGAATACAGCTTTTGTCTTCCGATGAGAGATAGAAGAAACTATGACCTAACCAAATCTAAGACAAGAAAAAGTTTCTATAAATAATATTATCAAGTCATCCTTCTTGTTATATAGGGATATTGTATATTTAGCAATAGAACCATTATTGGGCAATTACAACTTGGATGAAGGATGTGGGCGGCTTAGTAACATAATATGTTATGTATTGGACTATTAATAGAAGTGTGTACATAGCAACAGAGGTTAAAGGTCAGTGTTAATGTCTTTACTCAGACTATAGTTCTGAGTTTAAAAAAAGTCGAATTCATCGCTTTTGAAGTTTATTTCATTTTAAAACTTTATTTCTTAATATACTACATTAATTAAGGTTATTTTAGGATTGTTTTGATATTAAATTTAAGGATATTAATATAGTAAGCCATATAAATACAAGTATACGTATTTCTGGACAATTTAAACATTATATTATATATTTATTAACAATTGAAAATCAATTAAAAACCAATTACTTTTTTATAAATAAATGAGTCAAGTACTTAAGAACTAACACTTTACAAGATGCGGCTTGAATAACTTGATAGCGTCTTTAACGTTTTATAATTAATCATTGTTGGTATCAAGAATAAATCATGTTTTTGTATAAAAAATAACAATGAATTATACATATACACAATACCTTGCGATCCCAAAACAACAATTTTCGCTTCAACCACCTTCATTTTGAACACAATCACTACACTAAATATAGCATACAAACAATGTTACATTTTTAAAATAATGTTTAAGTTCTGCTCATTTATTATTGTTTCAAATTTAATTTACGTCCGTTCCCAATGCACCAATGATCAAACTGCAAAGTTGTGAACATCAAAGTGACAATTTACATCACTATCAAAGTGACACTTGCACGAAGTTGTCAATCTAATTGTCACTTATGAATGACATAGTGATGTTATTAATATCTGTGGTTGGTTTAACGGTTGGTTGGTTTTGTTACAGATTTATTTTCTGAATTTCAGGGGTGTTTTCAGTTTTCAGGAGGGAGAGTGTTGAAGAAAATGATGTTATTTTAAGAAGAATAAGATTATATCTTAACTTGACATCCGCGTTATACATAGATTAAGTCGGAAGTTCGGTCCTTGTCCTTGGTGGACAATAGACATTCTAATACTTAGACTCCCTTAAAAGAGACATACCTGATGGGGAAAATTAATTAAGCTAGCGTGGTAGGTTAAGGCTAATACACATACCCTCTATTAAAATCTTTGTTCAAGCTTCACTATCTGCTTAAAAGTTAATAGTAATTAAGACTACTTATAAATTTAAAAAAATAGAAAGATCTAGATAAATAGTAATAATTAATTGTAGGCTTACCACATCGAATCGTTAATCCCAACTTTATGGGATAGTCATAACGTATGATAGTAATCAATCGACAATCACTATAAATTTGTCATAAACTGGAGTTTATTAGCGCATAAAGTGCATTTTACGATTTGCACATTATACTGTACTTTGGCAAAATCTAATAATATTTGAGAAACATAACACGACCACTCAAGACTTTAGTATCGATATAAAATGAATAAGATATGTATAGAAAGAAAATGAATGTAACGTGTTTTTATATATCAAATAATTCATGTGCAATGGCTTCCTTCTGTTAAGCGCGAAGGTACTTTTTGATTACTTCGACCTTTGATACAAATCTTTGATTATAATTAGAAAGCTACTAAGTACTACCTACACGATAATAATAATAATAATAATAATAATAATAATCATAACTTGAATATCATTATAATTATATTCTATCAAGAAAAAGGAAAAGCAATCAAGATGGCCGATTTTCCCCCGCTTTGGCAAAGATCTCGGGCGCCATTACAATATTTGAAAAATTTGATTCACAAACAAAACGGTAAGTACAAAAGAATCTTTTGTTATAACATAATAAGGTTGTATTTGAATCGGAACCTTTTCTCGTTTTTATAATAGGAGCCAGCCACAAGTCAAGAAGCAAATAGACAACATTATACAGATTAAATCGCTTAGGAATATATAGAGTTGTTACATTTTTTTTGATATATTTTTATTATTAGGTTAGATTTGTTTATTAGGTTTTAGTCACTAGTAGATTCGTAACCTACAATACTTTGTTATTAAAATATATTCTTACATTTACAACAAATGAGTAGGTAATTAGCTAGAATCGCGCAGATAGACGCAGGACAGACAGATTAAATCGCATTTGATATAGTACCTTTGAAAAGACACTATAACAACTCTAGACAATTACAAAATTTCCAATAACATAGCCACAAAGAAATCTTGCAGTCGTAACATACATATATGCGTGACATTAGCATATTTAACCGATTTCAGTAACATATTACTGATGCGAATGTACAAAATCGTTTCGGGACTAACAGCAGATTGTATTTAGTTATACATGGTTATATATTATTTAGTTATAACTATATTATTACTGAACAGTTTCTTCAAATTCATATTTTTATTTATTATTCAAGGCATGACAAACTTTTCTATAGTTAGGTACGTTAATAACACATTTTTAGTAGCAAAATAGTAGATTATGTAAAATTTGAAAAATGGCGTGATCATTGTTCTAAAATTACCTAATACATATATAATATTATTACCTAAAAAAGGATTTTTTTAAAATACTATATTAATTTTGCTGTCGAAAGTGAATAATCAATTATGAAATGATTTAAAAATCTGCTTCTTATAAATTAAAAGGTGTATTTTAATTATACTTCTTTGTATTTGTAATGTAAAAAGATAGGACATTCCCTTGCCCTAAGATGAATGCCTAATACCACTTAATTAAATAGATCTGCATAGGTACTTTATCATTTGTTATACAGTAAAACAAATCGTCCAAAAACTTTCGGGTCATTAAGCAAATTACAATCGTAAATGTAATTCCGACAAAATATGTTCTTACAAACATTGCGATAAGATTAATTTAGCTAAAAGCTTGGAAATAGGAGCAAAGTGGTCGTAATGTTAAGTGTGGCGATAAATTTAGAACAACGCCATCTATACGACATATCCTCATGTTGTATTCATGAGATGTGCTAATAGGTGGCGGTAGTAGTGATTTAATCTTGAATAATTTTGTGGCTTTTGCTTTGAGTTATTTTTCTTTGCTTTTTGCTCTTTATTGATACGAATGGACGTTACACAACTACAATAGGCTTGGCACAAACATAATTGAAGGGTTGTAAATAAATAAAAATTGCCTAAGCCCGTTACACTCTTCAAATATTTAGCTAAATTTTGGTTTTTATTTAAGACACGTGTCCCTATGCTATAGCTATGAAATAAAAATATATCTTTTTAATATTTTTAGTATATTCAATGAGAAAAAGATAAACTTTACATAGAATACTTGTTCTTATTCTATCGTGCGCGTTTAAGGCCACTACTTTAATGACAGTAGTCATGCGTAGTATGCGAGGATAGATCTGAGCCCTTAATTATTAAGTTACACCGATAATATTATATGAGGCTGCTAGACAATGAATATAATATAAATAATTATCATAAAATTGCAGTTAGCTACTCTGCCAAGCCACTCTTCAAGTATTAGATTAAGTTAAATAAGTTAAAGGTTGTTCTTGAGTTCAGCGCCTTCAACATAACAAAGCCAAGCCTTTTCATCTCTATAATATGTAAAAATGCACCTAAAACTCAACCAATTCCAAAAGCACGTTTAAATATATAACACTATATACTTGCCTTTGTTGAACGTTGTACAAACGGTTGTCTAAACGATATACTTCGTCAAACAAAGCACTCGGTAACTTGGTACAGTGGAGACCGGCCAAATCCTGTTAGTCGACGAAAGAATATTGGCGATATTCCATATTGTTTGCAAGTATGTATTAAAATTAGCTTTGGCACAACTAATATAAGACGTTCTAAACGATTATTTTTTTTATATACGATAAGAGGACAGACAGCATGACGTCTACTTAATGGAAGGTGAAACACCACTGCCATATAACATCTAAAAAATGCGCTATAAACCTTTTTGTATTTGAGATATTTGCAAATCCACAAATTTAGATCGAAACGCTATTAAATTTCACGGGTTTTTCATCTGTGGACGTGCTCGTGAGTCGGACGGAATTTTCTATGCTCCTACATGTTCCTACCCATTTAATTTCCAAATTGCTAGACAAAGTCCAAGATGTTTAAGTGAAATTAGGAAATGGTTGGAAAGATGTTGCATCGGTGGGGATTGAAATCACGTCCCATTGTTTATTAGCCGTACATTTTGTCGACCCTTAAATCAATGAGTCCGTCACAGTCCATTACTTAATATATCTTTTGTTTTTATTCTTATCATTAAAAAATAATTCTTCGAATAATACGTCATTCTGTTTTTATTGACAAAAAAAAAAAAACTTTAGTGTATGTAGCTATTGAGGTTTCATTAAAATTTTAAATTTAAGTAAAAAAGTGTTTGAGTGCTAACCACCTTACACCATCATGAGTGGATGACATCATCCGGAGAATTTAATACTGTCTGTAGTTTACATGAGTAGTACACATTTAAATAAAACACTTTTCGACAAATATCAACTAAAACGGAACAGACGGCGCTAGCATAGCATATTTTACTTTGACATTAGAGATACCCTCCATTATGTCTCCCCGTGACCACGTCTGCTACAAAGCATCCGAAACGTCAGGCCGTAGTTTTATGTATATTTTTTGCGTTTTAAACTATTAAAGTGTTATATTTAAAACATTCGCAGATATTAAGTTGCTAAATAGCCGTATACAATTTATAAAGTAAATTTTATAATTTTATAATTCATAAAACAAAAATAATAATGTCTTATCCACGTTATATATTTGCGCCGCAAACGAGCAATCAGCGAGCAATCGACACGACAATACCCCTCTTCGCGCCAAATTCAATTTGCACCAATCAACGGCCGTCTTGCCGCCTCCGGGCGCGCTACCGCACTGGCTCCCTCTGTCAGACGTGCCGTGAGTTGCTCGATTTTTGAACGCAGAATGACATTGTTTCACAGATAACATTGTTTTCTAGTTTATTTTTCACGACCAACCAGGACTGTATTTTAACTTGCTCTTTTCCATTCAATTCTCTTAAACGCGAGATTACTTCTATCGTCATGCAGAGAAAAATATTAAATAAATCCCAAACCAAATTTGTTTTACCTACTTAATTAAGTAGATACAACAAATTCATATTATAAGATTCAGAAAAATGATCTGTCTTTTTATACTTATGTCTAAAAATAATTCCTTATTCTTTGTTGGTGCGACGTAAGTGTAGGTAAGTAATTACTAGGTAAAAATATGATGAATAGTAAAAAAACCGACATATATTATTAATAGAATCGGCTGCTATATCAATGAAATAATAATTACAATTACCGCCATTTTAAAATGTTAACTGTCAGAAAAGCGCGCCAACAATGGCGGGCCGTATTAAATCAAATATCAAATATTGATATTCTCGTCTCGATTCAGTATTCTGTTTGAGGTGGCGGATTCTGTTTGCGCTCAGAACGATCCTTCATGACACCAATCCGATGTATTTTTGCGAAACTATTTGCATACACAAATGATACATTTCCAAATTGAAGGAAATATGTTTGACTAACGTACGTCTCGATAGATTTTCTCTTTATTTACTGACGGCACCGAACAGCTT